TCACGCACACTTTGGTAACCGGCCGTATTAGGTCGCACGATAGCCCGCCGGCCAGTATCTGTATATACTTAATTGAGTTTGGAAACCAAGTTTTACATAATTAAGTATTGTCGGCAAATTTTACATTGTACGACTTTGTTTCACGATAGCAATTTGGGTGACTTGCATAATATTCGTGAGAGGCAAGTAAATGAGGGCATCGTTTTATTGGGAGAATATATCTTACCAGCCGTTAACTGTCCGTTGCTCAATATTGGCCTCCCTCTATTGGGGGGTTTTGCCAGTAGTTGCCACGCTTGGCAAGTTGATTGGCAACAGTAGTTAGGTTTTTTTATTTTAAGAGGGATGCTGCTGCTCAGCCCTCTTAACCATTAAGTTATTTAGTCGCCTCTTACGACACCTACGGGAACGAAAGGGGTGGCTCTTTCTATGCTGGGACTACACAGTAATTTTTGAGAAAATTCATACAAATCCGAACCTCACGGATTAATCAGACTGCAGTATAATATGAAAATTATAAACGTACCTGTAGAAAGAATTTCTATTAGCTTTTTTTTTTCACAGAAATTTCATTCCCTTCCTTCGGGAATTTTTCGCAACATTTTAGTTGATACTTACGTCATATGTCACACGTCCTATCGGGAATTTCTGTGTAAAATTTCAAGTAATGTAGTCATCCTCGTTATTCGGTGTCAATCAACTATGTCATGTAACACTTCCTGCAGTGACAACGTCTCGATATTTCGAGACAACGTGTCAACTTGAAATGTCAAGTGCAAGTTCGTTCGATCGCAGATTTTTATTGCTACCGCGCCGTAACGTAACGTACAGTTAGTTTGGGTGAGCTGGTTGCGCTTTGTTTCGTAACGCAAATGTAACACGCATGTACACTGCATACGTAACATCGCTGCGCAGGCGCATGCCCACTAGAGCGTGAAGTACGCACGGCCAAGGTTCCATCGGATTCATTGTTTTTTCCGTAATTCCAAAATGGGTATGTTTTTATACGATTTAGAATGTCAAACAAAATGATGGTCCACATAATGGAAAGTGGTAACAGTCCATCGCACTCAGACATTACAAGCACCATGGATATCAAAATATGCACTGTGTGACTTGTTTAGTTAGCGTAGACGGTGTTCCATATAATTTTCATCCATCAATCCTTGAACCAATCCTATATTTGAAGCCAATGTTACACAAGAACATGTCTTTTCTGTAATTTTGAAATTTGTAAATAATGAATGAACTGCGAGTAGATAACAGTTGTTGCCGGTTATAACCGAATGTTAGTAAACCGCGACGATTTCGCTTACAAATAGTTTCATTGCCGATGTACTCATCACTTTGCACTGCGACCGTCGCCGTGCTTGATTTAGTTTTCTCCACTTTCCAAACGTGAGCAAGAAATGTTACGTTTGCTAAAAGCTTCTATACAGAAATTTACTCGAGTGTGGCAACATCGGAATAATCTATCAATTTTCAAAAAGAATTGTTTTTTGTTTAATAGAGACTGGCTTAAGTGACCACACCCCACCCATACCTTCCCATACATTGGAAGCAGGTAACGAGGTCCAAACGTAAGGGTCCCCATCACAGTTATTTATACTGTGGAGGTCATTGTCATTTATTTATGCACATTTAAAAAGTGCTTTGATGATGATGAATTAACATGTGAATCATGTAATATATATATTTTTAATAAGTGCCATACAATCACTTCAGTGGCCTGATCATCAAGCTAATACCTTGGCTTAACCCAGAACATCCAGATTAAGAAGTTATTTCTGGGACCTTGTCACGTATAACAAAATACTCAATGCTGCATCACAGAGGTTGGGGGGAAAGGGATTGTTAGTAATGGGGATAACCAACCCTATTACTAGCAATATACCCTATTAGGTCTTCCTCCTTGCGGTTCCCCTTGGAAACCATTGTGAATCATTGTTGAATTTGTCATGATGGGCTAACTGACCTGTTTCATTTTCACTTATCATCCCTCACTGGTGTCCCGCCAGTGTATACCGATAGTGCAAACGGGGTTACCATATCATTATCACGCATTCAAAAAATGCTGCATCACAGAGGTCGTCAATAAGAAGCTGTTAGTGAATACATGAATTGTTAGTGGCAGATTTATGAGCTACTTGTTGTATGATCTATGATACATAATTTATTTGCATTACTTACAGCACACAGATAACAACATATATATATATATATATATATATATATATATATATATATATATATATATATATATATATATATATATATATATATATGCAAAAATAAATACAAAAAAAGAATGCATACAAAAAAGGAAAATACGTAAATTATTACTATTATTAACGTTTTTGTTCCCTATTGAGTACTTTTGAAATTATCAATCAGACATACTAAAAATTCAATACTTCCTTCAAGAGAAGACTGAAATCACATCTTATAATCAATTGTACATGATAATTCTATGCACTTATACATATGTATATATATTTATCTATTTACTTATTTACGTATTTATTTATTTATTTATTCACAATAGTGTTTGATGTATTTACATTATTTTCACTGGTACCTTTTCTGCACTGGATTACCCAAATTAAATTATTTTCTCTCTAACTACACAGGGTTGGCTGGAAGAGATCTCTTTCAGACACAAGTCCTCCCTTGCTAACAAGTTGTTAAACTAATCGTCGCATATATTGTTTAAGTGCAATAAAGAATATATAAAATTGTTATTGAAAATTGACAAATAATTCAATCGGAATTATTGCCTTGCTTCACTTTGAACTACATAGTATGAACGCAACGCTCTTAAGCGGCTTCAGAAAGTGAAGACTCAGTTCTACCGTATTTTTATACCACTAAGGTATAAAAATACTTAATCCTTCAACTAGTCTAGTTCTGTGTTTCACTTCGCTGCCGTCCCATGTGAATTACTGCGGCACGTAATTACAGTTTCGTTGTATCATTGCGGTTATGCATAATCTCTCACACAGCGAGCTATATACTGTGTCCTTGGTATAATGACAGATTATGCACTATTTGATTCTGATGTTAATTTCACTTTTTTGTCATAACGTCACAGAAAATGTTTAGGTGTCGGTTAATAAAAATAATAATAAATAGTTCATCCTCATGTCCTACAGCCTCAATGGTCGCGTACTGCGCGGTTTCAGAGATATTTCCTCCCACGAACACTCAGGTTGTGTAATGAGCTCCCTACCGAGGTTTCCTCAAGAGACTACAGCATGGGGTTCTTCAAAAGCGGGGTAAAGTGGTTTCTTCAGGGTCGGCAACGCGCGCGTAATACCTCTGGTATTGCAGGTGTTCATAGGCTACGGTAACCACTTACCATCAGGTGGGCCGTATGCTTGTTTGCCACCTCAGTGGTATAAAAAAAATAATAAATATTATTTTTGATTCTTTTACTATATCGAACAAGATCCTTTTTGAAAAACGTATTAGAAGTGAGAATTTTCTTCAGAATAAATAACTATAATGACTGGTCTGGTTAGAAAAAATGAATTCATAATCATCATTATATTAGCCGTTAATAGTTGCCACGTTTGACAGGCGGGTTGGCAACTGCAGTTAGAATTGGTGATGTTATGAGAGGGTCGCTGCTGCATGAATGCTCTTTCAAATTAATCTGAATGACGGTTAGGTTGATATTATTGTTATGTTCTCGCGTTGTTGTTCTGCGGGAAAGTGATTGTTAACTAACTAAAATGGATTAACTCTAATAGCTCTTTCATTAGCAATATATCTTACCAAGTCGAATTTCACGTAGTTTTCCATGGAATGCTTCTTAGATTAATTTGTCACGATGGACTAACTGACTTGTTCTCATCCTCGCATATTATCTCTCACTGGTGCCTCGCCGGATGGAGAACGTATCGAGTATTACGTTCTCCATTACCATTGTAACAGTCAACAAATGCCTGTGAGTTCACTACTACGGATTACAGTATTTTTTTTTGATGGGTGAAAATGGTATGGTAACCCCGCCTGCGCTAACGGGATACGCTGGCGGAGCACCAGTGAAGGGTGATAGGTGAGAATGAAAACAGGCCAGTTAGCCCATCATGATGAATTCATCAGGAATTAACCATGATAGTTTCCAGGGGGAACCGCGAGGAGGTCGACCTGGTTGGGTATATTGCTAGCAATGGGATTCTCAGTCTCCATTACTAACAATCCCTTTCTCCCCTACGGATTATAGTTCTGAGTACATTTTTTTTTTATTTTAAACTGTCGAGCTTTTGATTCTCTATTAAACTATTATTATAGTGTAATGTTGTCTGTGCATAAACGTAAAATGCCAATTACTCGCATATTACGTTAGCTAAATAGCAACCTCGGCTCCAAGATGAGCTCATGGTGTGCAGGAACCACGCTCCAGGTGCCCCGTTAGTCGCCGCGTGCGGCCGTGGTCGCGGTCGCTGCACAGATTAGCTGCCGTCTCTGGTTGCTCCCGCCCATGCTTACTTTGTACATGTCTATGTGTGTGTGTTTGCGCGCTTTTGTTTCGCGGACAGTGACATTGAATTTTTTGCAATGCCCTTTAAAAAAAATTTGCCTACAGTGAGTATTTGCATATATAAAGCATTCTGGATTCAATAGTCTATTGACTAAGGTGTTGTGTACGCAGTAATATTATCTTACGAACTTGTTAAAATGTACAAAATAAAATCTTTATCAGAAAGTCGCGGAAATATATCGAGTAAACAACGTGATCGTAACCTGAACAAAAGAGTTTGTAAATAATAATATGATCTAAAAAGAATCTGACTTCAATTATGGCAAATTTAGTACGACGTGGTTAACACGGAACAATCGCGTAACATACACACGAATAAAAAATATGAGATTGAGAATATTTATAAAAATATTAAATCGTATGACCTCGTAATCTAAGCTTATATGAATAAAAAAGTATAATATAAAGTATTAATTAATTTACAATAAAATAAATAAATAAACAAAAACTTATTGGGCTCGGCCGGGATTTGAACCCGGGACCTCTCGCACCCTAAGCGAGAATCATACCCCTAGACCAACGAGCCAGTTGTAAGATTTGTCGAAATTGTTAACTCGTTGCCGCAGTTCGCAGCTCGACATTCGCCGAGATTGGAAAGTGACGTTATCATACTATCTATATTATTGCGTGCTTATCTGATTTCTCAATTCTTTATTATGGATTATTAAGTTAATCGGTAGGTAGGTTATTTAACTTCTAAAAGTAACTATTTATAACTTAAACATTGAAAAGAGTCTTTAATATTTTTCGAGTATTCATTAGCTGTACGTGCTTGTCGCCAGTTTGACGTTAAAATTTATGTATCAATAAATCATTTCAATGCCAATTTATATTATACGTATGACGGCCATAAATAATAATATTTAGAAAAAGTATTTTACAATTATTTTAGTTATTTTTTGGGGCTTTACGAAAAAATACGCGAAGATATTTATATACAGGTACTATTACATAACAGTGTTCATATCATAACTTTAGCCTTGACAAGATATGGCAGGTAATGTAGAAATTTACAATCTCACGACTTTAAAAAATTATATATATATATATATATATATATATATGAAATAAATATTATTATGAAATAAAATTTTAATTTTAATTCATAAACATTTCATTCATAAACCTTAAATAAATAAATAAACATTAAACAAAGAGTCGTCACTTCATTTCACGCTAAACCCGCGTAAAATATTACTGAAATCGAATTGAAAATTACGAGTAGCTAAGAATTATATTAAACTAACCCATAATCTATGTGCATAATACGAAATAAATTGGATCGGGCTAAATGTGAACATAGAGTCAGTTTGTGGGGACAATTGGTTAAAACAGGCCACCGTATCACATGCTTGTCGTCCACTACAATTGATTGTGAACTCCAAATAGTACGTGAATAGGGTTGGAAATAGCTATGTGTAATATACAGCTGCTATCGTTACTCGCTGCTGAGTCGAGCGGCGGCTGCTCATGAGATGCAATTGAAGGCGATAACTGCAACCCAGTTTAGAAATAGATAATTTAATGAAAGCGTATGTAGCAAGCAAGAGATGTTTGCAAAGAATCAAGGCTTGAAGGTCTTTTGCTTTCGTCTCTTTCAGTGTTGCAATCTCATAAGGGCCTACGCAGATGAGGGATATTGCAAGATATTGCAGGCGTTCGTAGGCTACGGTAACTGCTTACCATCAGGTGGGCCGTAAGCCTGTTTACCACCTCAGTGGTATAAAAAAAAATTTGTTAGGCTAGACCTAGGTCCGAAGAAAGAAACCGTATACTTTTGTTAAAAAAAAAGTGAGCATGAACTTTTGTCCGCTCATAAAACGGGAGCTTCAAAAATCGCCATGTATATGTACAGTGTATAAGGCGTACCTGTAAATATGTATGTGATTTATTATTATAAAGAAAATTTTGTCTGCTAATAAAATGTTCATAGTCTGCGCGGAGTAAACTTAATATTATATTTTTTTTTAATCTATGACTCTTTAGCCTATGAATTAATCATACTAGCTAGGTTAGCTTTGGATATATTGAAAAAAAAAAATGTATGCGTTTATATTATTACTGTAACGATTTATTACCATTAATTATTGACTTTAAACGTAAAAATTTGCATTCAAAATGTATTATATATTTGAATATGATATAAGTTTATGTAAGAAATGTCTTTTACTCTTGATTTTTGGCGTTATCACCACCGTAGAGGATGTATCATACACTATATATGCTAAGTCTAATTAAAACTAGAATCCACTGGTCAACAGTCACTTGCCATCCGCTGTAAAGGCGACGGCGACCGGCAGACGGCAGGTGCAGCCTAACTGGAATTATATTTAATTACCTTGATACACCTCACCGACTTTCTAATGTCGTGAAGACAATCTGTCCCACTACTGTTTATATGTCGTGCAAATGTATATTATATTAGTATATATACGGTATTTTATGAAATGGAATAGCATCCCCGTTTCTCCCCTTGACGTTTGCGTGTAAAGATGACGGTGGTCATTTTCCATCAGATGTATAAACAATAAAGTCGCACCATGGCTTTCATTCCACCGTTTTTGATAGAAATCTAAAAAAGTATCACCTTCTCTTTTTGGGTTCCTTAATAATTAATTTCTTATACTAATACTTATAATTTCTTATACTATATATTTGTGTCTCTTCTTATATTGTCTAATTTCCATTATATTGCTCGTAGACAGTCAATGTATGCATTTGAGTATATTCATTGGTATCAGGTGCCCTTTGAAAATATTTGGTTCGATAGGAACGTCCTCAACCGACTTATCTCGCACTTGATTCGATTTTTTATCGATTGTGATGATTACGTATCTCAATTATTGTAATATTTGCTTATCATACGTACGGATGCTTACTGAGTAAAGTGTAATTTTATTTTAATTTATTTATTCATAAGTACATATATACGTGTACATGTTAGACTCAATGCTAAAAGCATTCTCTCCCAGTTAACTATAGGGAAGTGTCAGAATACTCGAATAGTAATACTAAAATAGTGTATATAAATAACAAATATATTTACACATGTATAAAATATACTATATTATACTCGAAATTGAGAATAATATAAAGTACTTACTGCTTGGATAAAGCAAAAAAGTGAGCATAAACCTTTTTTTTTAAAGACTGTTTAGTGGGGAGTCTCTTAATGGTATCTTGCATTGTTTTCATATTTTCTAAAATTTTCTATACATATACTCGTATATTCCGTGTATGGAGTAAGAACACAATGTGTCACTACTCCTTATCATTCCCAGTAGACGCTGACTGGCTAATAAAACAAGGCATAATACAACACTACAAGCGAAGGAAAGCTTGAATCAAAACTAAGCAAGCAAACTGTCTAGCATAGCTAGCATGATAAAAATAAACTATTGTGTATACTCCTAAGAGAATGGATCCGTGTCCAAAAGTGGGATGTTTAAAGATTCTATAGTTATGATTAGAAGTGATTTTTATACTTATTATCCAAGTTAACATTTTTGAATTGCCTTAAGAGTGTTCACCTTTTGCGCACCGAAGTGTGGCTTAAGGTTTTAGTTCGCTATTAAAGTACTTTTTAAATAATTAATCAGACACATTGAAAAATGTTCAATTATTTTAGAAATTTGACAAATAATTGCGACGATATCGTATTTAGTTATGAACGCTGCTGTCGCCCATCATGTGTAATGTTTGTTTGTACCTATGGCACGGTGAGTGACGCTGTGTGTCCGCGTGTCGGCAGGCGTGGTGCACGTGTCCGACGGCCACTTGGAGCTGCCGTCGGTGCGCAAGGAGTGGCGGCCGCTGCTGGCGCACTACGCGGGGCCCACCGCCGTCATCGTCGTCGCCGTACTCTTCGCCGTGTCGCTGCCGCTCGCCGGGTACGTACCGACCGTACTACTTGGAATTATTAACAAGTTAATAGCCCACGTGGTGGAAAGTACTATGTACTAGTTACCACTAAATACTAAGTAAGTGGAAACTTACTATAGGGAGATTTTGTACAAAAGTCGTTTGCTTGGGCACCTCTGTTCCATTCGCGTTTCTACCGTAAAACAGTTGTGTTTGCATGGCTGTGTTTCAGTTTGAAGGGTGGGATATGGCGTGAATTTACAGGGTACAGAGGAATAACACCTGAGTCCTCAGGAATGGCAATGCATGGGGGATATCATGGGCCAAACAGTATATACTGTTATGTCCATGGCACTGCTAATGTTTAGGTGCTAATAAGGTGGGCCATCAGCTTGTTTGACATTCTACGTTGCATAAAAAAGCAAAAGCAAAAAATGCTAAACGTTGAATTGTTAAATTTAATTTGTTATCGATGTAATATTCCAGTCTATTTTGGTGCTGCTGCTACTGGTGCCGGTCGGGCCGACGGCGGCGGCCCTTCGACCGCAAGTATGACGCGTGTCTCAAGGGTCTGCTCGCCATTCTCCTCATAGCTCTACTGACGCTCTTCCTGTAAGTGGTTTGATATAAACATAGCAAAAGCACAGTGTAAGGAGCAATGGTTTTATACGTAAGCTGTATGGATAAAGATAAAACTGTACTAGCGCGAGTGAAGGGAGAATCGAAACAATACTCTGCTAAACGTAACTCTCCTAGCCAGCGTGGTAATAGTGGTAGTGTCATAAAAAGTTTCGGACACGTTAAATCTTACTAATATAATAAAATTATAATTAGATGATATTCGTTCTGGTATTACAAAAACACCACTGCACCAAGTTGGATGCAGTTTTCACAGTCATATTCCTGAAGGTCTAATTTAAAATCTGGTGTATGTACTATCATGATCTAATAAGTACCACCAATTCACGCGTATGAAGCAGCGGGTAAAAGGCTAGTGTCCAAGAAATCTATTTTAGCTACTGAAATATATCGTTGTTTCGTTTTGCATTTAAAAGAAAGGAACTAAACCTGTAAAAGCGAAGGTTCGCTTGTAAGAGAGTGGAGTGAATGTGAATGAGCCACGAGGCCGGTGGTGGCGGCGCGTGTGCGGCAGGTTCGGCGTGGTGTGCGCGTTCGCGACGGAGGCGCAGCTGGAGGCGGGCGCGGCGCGCGCGGCGGGCGCGCTGCGCGCCGGGCTGCGCGACGCGCACGCGTTCGTCAACGCCACGCACGCGCACGCGCACTGGCTGCTCGTCGTCAACTACGGCGAGCTCGAGCGCAAGATGGACGCGCTGCTCACCGGTACGTATAGCTCCACACCTCCACACCTCCACACCTCCACACCTCCTCACCTCCTCCGCCGGACACTGCTTCCCGAGCTTGGTCCGTGACGAGAGACCACCGCAGCCCATGAATGCAGTCATTCACGCATTGACAAAGTTTATGATCTTGTATCATAGTTACCTAATATTTTCATCAAATCGAAACACAGCATACGAGCACGCGCTTCTGCGATATAATTAATAGTTGAATAAGAGATAAATTTATTCAGTGCTCCTTCTCCTCCAGCGGTTCACTATTTGTACAAGTGATATGATCAGTCGTCAGACAGTGCATAATACATTATCGAGGTTGTCTTCTGGCCTCTTTGCCAAATCTTATACTTTATAAGAGATAATAATCAATCAAAACTATCGTCATGAAATGTTCATGAGGTTTACATAGACATAGCTCTTCAATAATTCTAGTTTAAGGTTGACGAGCATGAAAATATGTACAACTTTACGCTGTAACAGTCATTTGTGAAGGACAACGTTCTGAACTTTAATGAAAACTTCAAATAAAACAGGTTAACACTCAGAAATTGTCATTAAGAAATAGAAATGTCAAATGTATTACTTTTCCATTTACCAATTTACTTTATACGCGTGTGGTGGTGGTGGTGGTGCGTGGCAGGCGCGGGCATGGCGGTGTCGGTGCAGCTGGGCGAGTTCTCGCACGCGGTGTCGGTGACGACGCTCAACAAGATGGTGCAGCAGCTGGACGGCGTACAGGCCGACCTGCGGGCCGTGCAGCACCTCACCGCCACGCTGCGCTTCAAGGCTGAGCAGCTCAACACCGGTGCGTGCCAAGTCTTCCCAAGTTTTACTGTTCACTACTGGGCTCTAGCGGTCCACGACCCACCCGCGGTTCCGGGTTTAATTCTCGGTCTTAAAATTTAGGAAATAAACTTTTCTGAACTGGCTCGAGTTTGGGTATTATGTATGATACTCCTAGATATCCTTTGCCCTGTTTTTCATAACACAAGGTATCCTGACTTGAGGATCTTAGTGTGATTCATGTAATTCACAATCAGGTCAATCTGCTGATATGCACGTCACAGTGGTTTCTAAACCATCGTGATTAATTTCTGCTCAACAGTCGCAGTTAATTTCACGATGGACCAAATGTCGTGACTTTATCTTCACCAATAAAGAAGATTAGGCTACTATCCAATTTTCATTCATTGACCAACCCGTCCATTTAACGCTGAATCCTATATAGTCAATTCTGAATATATTCGAAAACTCCTAATATCGCCATACCTTTGTAACTTCTTCACTCCGTCATCCACTTTCCCTCTTGACCATTGTAATATTGTACGACCTGTGTGCGGCGCTCGGTGTGCAGGCCTCCGGAAGGTGAAGCTGAAGCTGCTGACGACCCTGGCCCGTTGCGAGATGCCGCCCTGTATCAACCTGCAACGCAAGCACCGCATCGGCGAGCTCAACACAGATATACAGTATAGCCAGGTATGTACACACACACACACAGACACACTACCAGCACGACAGTTTTACAAATGTCAACTGTATATGTTGCATCCTTAATATCGACTTAAAAAAAGTTGCAAATATAAGTTTTAATTTTTTTTCACCTAAAAAAAGAGCAGGTTTCACTACCTAATTAATAAAACAGTTCTTTTTTGTACATTGACTAAGGTAAAGGAGAGTTTTTCTATCATCCTGTCAGTCAGTCGTTAACAGTTCATTGCAGGACATAGGTTTTATGTCGGCTGTTGAGGGGTTTTGTCAGTAGTTGCCGTGCTTTACATTCGGATTGGTAACCTTAGACTTTGGTGATGTTTTAAGAGGGACGCTGCTATTCATCCCTTAACGAAAAACTTTTTTTAGTCGTCTCTAACGACACCCACGGGAAAGAAAGGGATGGCCCATTCAGTGCTGGTACCACACGGCTGTTTTTCTAATTTTCTATTTTATTTTATGAGTAAGTGAGTCAGTATCTACAATATACCTATAAGAATATACTAGAAGATTTATTTCTAAGTTCTCAAAAAAATATTATGTAAATAACAAAAAAAGAACGTGGCTGATACTGCGTGATATGTCTTCGAACACATCGAGATTGTTTTTAATTAAAATTAAATTAAATTAATTTAATTAAAATAAATAAAATTTATAATTTCATGCATACACGGATTAGATGCTTGACAAATACTTCCCGACGGTAAGTATATTAACATATAGTATGTTAATTAATCCATTCCTTAAAATTAGTGTTAGTATTTATAAATAGGATCTCTAAAAAAAGGAACAAGTTATGTATGTACACCTTATATATATATATATATATATATATATATATATATATATATATATATATATATATATATATATATATATATATATATATATATATATATATATATATATATATATATATATATATATATTATATATATATATATATTTATATTGTTCGCGACATTATTTGTATATATCGTAATTTATAGTTGTTAAGTCCCTAGTTAATCGTTTCTGTATTCTGTTATAGATTTACATAGATTTAAGATAGTGTAAGTTAAATAAAGTATTCCTTTGCGTGTTGTCGTTATTACCTACGAATAGAAATTGTAACAATAAATAGAATTAAGAAATTGTAAATTGAAATAAAATAAATAAATAGACGCTATAGAGTACCGATCTGAAGAGACACGCGTCTCGTTCATTTTCGCCCCGTCCCGCTCGCACAGATCGCTATCGCGAGTTGGAAACGTTATGCGAGCGGGCGGGTATAAAGATAGGCCGCCTCCCGTCGAGCGGCATTCGCTTCCGGGCAGCGACGCACTACACTCGAGAAGAAATAGGACAAGAAGAAAAATACTCTCTTCAGACGGTACCGGAGGCTTCAGAATAGTAATCCCTGTGTTTCACTCCAGCCTGAACCAACGCCCCTACAGTCCACGCTCACCGAACGGCAGTCCACACCGCACATCGTGGTCCTTCGAGAAGCCGGATTGCTGGAGGAACACCGTTGGTACATCGAGAAGCCGGATCGCTGGAGGAAGACCATTCTGAAGCCGGATCGCTGAAATGCCGACTACGAGAAACATGAAGTCGTCGCAACAAAAAGTCGCCGTCACCGAAGCCACAACGTCCGCCGCCACGTCGACTACGGCCGCCGGAACGCTGTCCGTCGCTGCCACGCCGTCCGTTGCTGCCACCACGTCGTCTGCGGCTGTCAGAATGCCTTCTGTCGCTGCCACGTCGTCTACCGCCGCCACCACATCGACTGCGAACACGTCCGGCGATACGACGACCACAGGAGCCACGGAGACTACCGAAGCCACAGGAACGACAGAGGAGACAGCAAGGAAGAAGGAACCGAAGCACGGCACGGCACGCACGGTTCGCACCACGGCCTCGCAGAAGAAGAAGGCTCTGGCCAAGGCACGGGAGGAGCTACTTCGAAAGGAGGTGGAATTGGCTGCTGCACGTGTCGCCGCCCTGGAAGCCGAATCAGAGGACGACGAGGAAGTAGAAGACGACGACGCTACCGTCAGAAGAGAACGAACGTCGGATTGGGTTCGTCGAAGCACGCTGGCACTCACAATGGAGCCGCATGTACCAGAGATAGAAGAAGTCACCGGCAAGCGTCAGGGGTTCGTCCCATCGAGACCCGTTGAAGAGGATTCGAGAGCGCCGCCGCCACAGCCGAGCAGCGACGCACTTCACCGGGACCACGCACGCCACGTTGACCCACATGCCGCCATGCCTACGATAGCAGCAGCGATGCAGTCGATGAAGAAAGAAGAACCGGTGCTGAAGGTGGGCATCGATTGTAATGAGTTTGCGATCGCCATGCAGATGGCCGCTCGCAACATACTGCCCTCCACAGCGTCAAGAGTCACCGAGTTGCCAGTCTTCAATGGATCGTCGAGCGAGTGGTTACCATGGAAGATGGCCTATGAAGAGAGCGCAAGTCAACTCACAGAACAAGAGAACCTAGCAAGACTGCGCAGAAGCTTGAAGGGGGCCGCAAAGGACGCGGCACGCTCCCTATTCGTCGGGTCTACGACCGCAGAAGAAGTAATGAAGATGTTAGCCGCGAGGTTCGGCCGCCCTGGAGCACTCGTCACAGCCGAACTGAACAAACTCCGCGCGCTACCACGACTCTCGGACAACGCAAGAGACGTCTGCCTCTTCGCAAGCAAGGTGCAGAACGTCGTCGCCACGATACGAGCGCTGAACAAGAGTCACTACCTCTACAACGAAGAAATAGTGAGAAACGTCACAGAGAAGATGCCGTCGGTACTACGCTTCAAGTACTACGATTTCGCCAACGACCAACCGGAGGGACAACCGGACCTCATAACACTCTCTCTCAGTTCCTGCAAAGGACCGCCGCACGATGTGGAAACTTCGCCCCCGCCGAGGAGATACCGTCCGAAGACCGGCGGGAGTCCGCTCCTAGGAAGACGGCGAAGACATACACGACGCAGGAGAAACCCGCTACACCACCGTGCCCGATGTGTCGACGAGAGGGACACGCTCCATCGGACTGCAAGACGATGAAGGAAGCAGACACATCGGCGAGATGGGAGTTAGCGAAGACTCATAGGCTGTGTTTCTGCTGCCTCAAAGTGAGAAGATTTCGCCACGCCTGCAAGAGCAAGAGATGTGGAGTAGATGAGTGCACGCAGACTCATCACCCTCTGCTGCACACCACGCGACAACAGCCGGAGAATGAAGTAACAACACACGTCGTCGAGGACAAGTCCGCCGCAGTCACCGCATCGGCAAGGGAAAACGACAAGATCGCGTTCCTGAAGATCCTGCCGATACGAGTCACCGGTCCCACGGGAACGTGCGACACCTACGCGCTACTGGACGACGGGTCGACTTGCACCATCATCGAGACGACGGTGGCGGAGCGAATCGGTGCTACGGGTCCCCCCGCACCATTCTACATGGAAGGTGTGGCCGGGGCACGGATCAACGCAGCTCAATCGACGCGTGTTCACTTCAAGATCCGCGGGCGGAATTCACAAGAATACACAGTGGGGGCACGGACGATGGACAGACTGCAGTTATCACCGCAGTCGGTACCACGCAGCGTCATCAAGGGCTGTCCACATCTGCGGGACATAGAGAGGGAATTGGTCTACGAAGAGGGCAAACCGACGGTACTGCTGGGGCAAGACAACTGGCACCTACTGCTGGCCCACGAAGTCAGAAGAGGATCCGACACGCAGCCGGTCGCATCACTCACCAACCTGGGATGGGTACTGCACGGTACGAGTCGCGGCAGGACAAGACAGCAGGTGCACAGAATCAGCCACATAGTGACGACACATGAAGAGGAACAATCGATGGAAGAAATGATGAAGCAACATTTCGCGCTCGAATCGCTGGGAATCGCACCGAAGAGGTCTTACAATGAAGAGGAACGTCGCGCCCTACGCATTTTAGAGGAGAAAACTCGTCCGTTACCGGCGGGAGGATACGAGACGGGGTTATTATGGAAGAAGGACGACCCTGTGCCGCCGGACAACTACGAATCGGCAATGCGACGTCTCCAACTGGTCGAAAGGAAACTCGACAAGAATGAAGAAATCAAGAAGAGATATGAACAGCAAATGGACACGCTACTCAAGAACGGGTATGCTGAAGTCGCCCCGCCACGGAGTTCCCAACGGGTGTGGTACCTGCCACACTTCGCCGTCATCAACCCGCAGAAACCGGGGAAACTGCGGATCGTGCACGACGCAGCAGCCAAGACGAAGGGCATCAGTTTGAACGACATGCTGCTGCCGGGCCCCGACTTACTTCAATCGCTACCGGGGGTCCTCATGCGGTTCCGGCAACGACGGGTGGCAGTCACGGCGGACATAAAGGACATGTTCATGCGGGTCACCATACGGGAAGAAGATAGGGACATGCAACGGTTCCTGTGGCGAGGAGATCGACGAGAGGGTCCACCTGTGGAATATAGGATGAAGAGTGTCATATTCGGCGCAACATCGTCACCGTGTACAGCGATCTACGTCAAGAACAAGAACGCAGAACAGTACAAGGAAGAGTTCCCGGAGGCAGCAACGGCGGTGGTCATGAACCACTACGTCGACGACTACCTCGCCAGCTTCGACACGGAAGAGCAAGCCGTACGCGTCTCAAGACAGGTCGCACAGATCCACGGTCGAGCCAACTACTATCTCCAACGGTGGGCGTCGAACTCGCATCAAGTGCGCGCCGCGTTCTCCGACACCGGCGGGGACAGCGTGGTACAACTCGACGCGGAGAAGATACTGGGGATGGTATGGCGACCTTCTGAAGACACCTTAGGCTTCAACTTCAACGGACACAAGCTTCCGCCACAGATAGCCAGCGGGGAACAGACGCCGACGACGAGGGAAGCGCTACGAGCGATTATGTCGCTGTTCGATCCACTGGGCCTCGCCACTCCCATCACCATACAGGCGAAGAAGATATTGCAGGAGACGTGGCGTACCGGTATCGACTGGGACACCGAGCTGCAACCACGGGAAGCGGACGCCTGGCGGAGCTGGATGGACCACGTGCGACGGCTGTCCGCGCTGGAGGTGCCGCGGTGCTACCCGGAGGTAGCCACGGCCGATACAGCGGAGCTGCATACATTCGTCGACGCCAGCTCGGACGCGTACGCCTGTGCCGTGTACTGGCGGGCCGTAAGCGCGACCGGCGAGGTCCACGTGTCGCTGATCGCGGCAAAGGGACGAGTGGCCCCACTCAGCAAGGTGACCACGATACCGCGACTGGAGCTGCAAGCGGCCGTCCTCGGGTGTCGCCTATCGCGCACGGCAGTCGAAGAACACGACCTGAAGCCCGCTCGCCGAGTATACTGGTCGGACTCACGCACCGTGCTCGCATGGCTACGCACCGGTCCTCGCGCATACAAGCCGTTCGTCGCGCATAGAGTCGCCGAGATCGTCGAAGAAACAAAGACGAACGAGTGGAGATGGATACCGACGCGGCACAACGTAGCAGACGACGCCACACGCGACCCACCGACGGACTTCGGCTCGCAGCATAGATGGTTCCGTGGGCCGGACTTCCTGTACCTCCCCGAAGAGCAGTGGCCGCGTGAAGATAGTACGAGCGACGATAGTCAAGCGGAAACGGGAGAAGAACGCGTACACAAGCTACAGAACGCGACGCAGTTGTCTATAGCATTACCCGATCCGTCACGTTTTTCTAATTGGTTGAAACTTGTTCGCAGTTCAGCACGGGTGTTGCAGTTCATCGACCTCCTGCGACCGACCAGTCAACGCTGCACCGCCATCCGAAAGAGAAACAAGAAGAAAGAGAGCGCCGACCCCACTTGGACCCGCACGAAGAAAGTCGATAGAGAGAAGACGAAGATGAAAATCAAGAACAGCAATAGTCCATCTGTGTGTTTCATCCCCATAGACACACACTACCTAGATCGCGCGCGACGGCTATGGATTCGCGCGATACAACAAGAGGCGTTCGGCGACGAAATCGCAGCATTGAAACGAGAGAAACAGCTGCCGTCATCCAGTCGACTCATACAGCTGTCAGTCGTCATAGACAACGACGACATTCTGCGACTTCGATCGAGAATAGCAGCCGCCGCCGATCTGTCAGCCGAGCAACGAGAGCCCCCATCGTCGACGGAAACCACGCCTGGGTGCGCCTATACATCGCATGGGTGCATCGGAAACTTCACCACGGCGGCTTCGAGATCACCACGAACGAGGTGCGACAACACTTGTGGGTGTTGCGCCTACGACACGCCGTCCGCAGTGAACTGAAGAGGTGTCAGCTGTGCCGCCTACGAAGAGCAAGACCGGCGCAGCCGTCAACGGGCAACCATCCACAGAGCAGGCTGGCGCATCATCAACGACCGTTCACGTTCACCGGCCTAGACTACTTCGGGCCTATGACCGTGACAGTGGGCCGCACTCACCAGAAGCGGTACGGAGTGCTCTTCACCTGCCTAACGACGCGCGCTGTCCACCTAGAAATCGCCGGCAGCCTCAGCACGGACTCCGCCATAATGGCCCTGCGGCGCTTCATAAGCCGCAGAGGGTGTCCCACTGAGCTATGGTCCGACCAAGGCACCAACCTCAAAGGTGCCGACATCGAACTGAAGAAAGCAGCCGAGGAAGCCATCCAAGAAGAGTCATCAGTCCATTTCATCCGGTGGCGCTACATTCCCCCGAGCGCACCCTTCATGGGAGGTGCGTGGGAACGGTTGGTGCGTAGCGTGAAGACCGCACTAGCCGCCACGTTGAACGAACGGGCGCCCAAGGAAGAGGTCCTCCACACTCTACTGGTCGAAGTCGAGCACACCCTCAACAGCCGACCGCTAACCCACGTGTCGACATCGGCAGACGACGACAGCGCCCTAACCCCCAATCACTTCATATTGGGCGGTCCATCGCGCGTCCCACTGCCAGGCAGCTTCACAGAGAGCGACGCGGCGGGACACAAGGAGTGGCGTGCCAGCCAGAGGCTAGCTGATTGCTTCTGGAACCGGTGGGTGAAGGAGTACCTACCCGAGTTGCAACACCGGCGGGAGCCCCGAGCTACACACGGAGCCATCAAAATGGACGACCTGGTCCTGATAGCTGATGGGACCTTGCCTCGCAACACGTGGCCGCGAGGCGTGGTGGTGGCGACCTACCCTGGACCAGACGGCGAGGTTCGAGCGGTCGACGTGCGGACGAACAAGGGCATCCTACGGCGACCCACTAAGAAGCTGATCATACTGCCCACATCGACATCGAGCGACGCGAACACGAGTTAACTCCAGCTACGAGAGCTGCGGCGGGAGATTATGTTCGCGACATTATTTGTATATATCGTAATTTATAGTTGTTAAGTCCCTAGTTAATCGTTTCTGTATTCTGTTATAGATTTACATAGATTTAAGATAGTGTAAGTTAAATAAAGTATTCCTTTGCGTGTTGTCGTTATTACCTACGAATAGAAATTGTAACAATAAATAGAATTAAGAAATTGTAAATTGAAATAAAATAAATAAATAGACGCTATAGAGTACCGATCTGAAGAGACACGCGTCTCGTTCATTTTCGCCCCGTCCCGCTCGCACAGATCGCTATCGCGAGTTGGAAACGTTATCGTGCGAGCGGGCGGGTATAAAGATAGGCCGCCTCCCGTCGAGCGGCATTCGCTTCCGGGCAGCGACGCACTACACTCGAGAAGAAATAGGACAAGAAGAAAAAATACTCTCTTCAGACGGTACCGGAGGCTTCAGAATAGTAATCCCTGTGTTTCACTCCAGCCTGAACCAACGCCCCTACAGTCCACGCTCACCGAACGGCAGTCCACACCGCACATATATATTATTTTTATTAGCTTACATACATTATGTAGTGTCGTTGGTGCAGATACAGGTTTTTTTTTTCTTCATATTTTAGTTTTTATTTTAATTATAAAATTTAAGGTGCGTCAACTAAGTCAAGGTGTGGCCGATAACGATGATTTTATTGCATAATTTTTACTAATGGAATATACAATCAAGGCAGTCCACTTTTATTAATTGTACATGAGAGGAAAAATAGTATTATTGAAACGATTACCAAAAGCGATTTCATTTTACTAAAAAAGAGTGCCGTTTAATTTAGAATTACATCTGAACATAGCAACTTACTGCGCTTTAGCAATACATATAAAAGCAAATAGTAGTTGCAATGTACTTTTATGACTTAGAATGGCAAACAAGTTAACGGTCCACTTGAAGGAAAGTGGTAACCGTCGCCTATAAACATGAACGGTACTCCCTCATGCGTTGCAATTTTTTGATCCCTATGGTATTTTTAATGGGCGAATTTGGAATAGGATCGCCTGCGCGATCGGTACACGCTGGTCGGGCAGGACTATGGTGTTTTACGGTTGTACCCAGAAATTTCACTGCCATATTCCACTTTTTAAATTGAAAAACCACAAATACATCACAGCTGTTTTATGGCAAAAACATGATGGAACAGAGCTACCTGTACAAGTACAAACCTCCTTCTGAGCTTGTTAAAAGAATTGTATATAAAAACTATAGCGACAGATATGACGAAAGAAAAAAAATCATAAACTTTAGCTATGAATCAATCTATGCTTTTCGTTTGAAGGGTGGGATTTGGCGTGAATTTACAGGGTACAGAGGAATACCGCCTGAGTCCTCAGGAATGGCAACGTACAGGGGGTATCATGGGCTAAACAGTATACTCTGTTATGTCCATGGTACTGCTCATGTCTATAGGCGACGGTTACCACTTTCCATCAGGTGGACCGTCAGCTTGTTTGCCATTCTAAGTTGTATAAAAAAAAAATATGATAATACAACACTACCCATGCAGAAGACCTGTATAGTCTGTCTTTGGGTTTACAAGTGGATGCTTGTATAATTGTGTGTTCTGAATATAACTTGTGCCGTGCGTGTTAGATGCCGGACGTGTCGGAGCTGCTGAACAACGTGACGTCGCTGCTGGACAGCCGTATCAAGGAGGAGGTGGCGGACGGGTACCGCGTGTTCCGCGACATACAGCGCGGCATACAGCGCTCCGTCGACGAGCACATACCGAGCGTACACCACGCCATCACCGACACAGGTAGGTCACCACTGCGACACGGAACCTAAGAACAAGGAATCCTAAAATAAAATTTGTAAGTTATATGGTTGCCTCCTTTCTTCTTATGCGTATATAAGTAGTAAAAAGAGGACGAAAGATACACCATCAGTTGCTATTGTTGTCAATTCATAGCTGGCTAGTGTATAGAAAATGTTTGATATGTCTATTATTTGTCAATGACAAATTTTACATTACTAGATTATATATTTGACAAAGTTAATGTAGAAAGTATGCAAGCAGGTTGTATTTGAATTTGGTAGGGTTATACGGCTGTATATTATTTTCTATACACTAGCCTGCTATGAATTGACAATTTTATCACTCCTACGTAATTCCTTGTTCTTAGTACGGAACGCAACGGATTTTACTTTGCAGACTTATTTTTTTGTGGCGGCTATTGACAATTAATTATGTTATGAATAAAACTGTCGAAATAAAGCAAAAAAGACCATTTTGTAAACAAAGACCCCCTGTTCCTAATTCAAAACTTTCAATATAATAAGTCATAGAAACACATGAATCAGTATATATGTGTACGTGCGTGCGCGCGTGCGTGCGTGCGTGCACGTACACGGTCCCGCGAGGCTCGGTGCAGTAGTAGTAGTGGTATGGTTCCGTGCAGGCGAGCGGCTGGCGTCGCTGTCGGAGCGGATCCGGGCGACGGCGGGCGAGGTGAGCGACATGCTGCAGCGGCACGAGCGCGCCAGCGACCGGCTGCAGGCCGCGGTGGCGCAGTACGGGCCCTACCGCCGCTACGTGGGGCTCGGCACCGCCTCCGCGCTGCTGCTCACACACACACCACACACACACACACACACACACACACACACACACACACACACACACACACACACACACACACACACACACACACACACACACACACACACACACACACACACACACACACACACACACACACACACACACACACACACACACACACACACACACACACACACACACACACACACACACACACACACACACACACACACACACACACACACACACACACACACACACACACACACACACACACACACACACACACACACACACACACACACACACACACACACACACACACACACACACACACACACACACACACACACACACACACACACACACACACACACACACACACACACACACACACACACACACACACACACACACACACACACACACACACACACACACACACACACACACACACACACACACACACACACACACACACACACACACACACACACACACACACACACACACACACACACACACACACACACACACACACACACACACACACACACACACACACACACACACACACACACACACACACACACACACACACACACACACACACACACACACACACACACACACACACACACACACACACACACACACACACACACACACACACACACACACACACACACACACACACACACACACACACACACACACACACACACACACACACACACACACACACACACACACACACACACACACACACACACACACACACACACACACACACACACACACACACACACACACACACACACACACACACACACACACACACACACACACACACACACACACACACACACACACACACACACACACACACACACACACACACACACACACACACACACACACACACACACACACACACACACACACACACACACACACACACACACACACACACACACACACACACACACACACACACACACACACACACACACACACACACACACACACACACACACACACACACACACACACACACACACACACACACACACACACACACACACACACACACACACACACACACACACACACACACACACACACACACACACACACACACACACACACACACACACACACACACACACACACACACACACACACACACACACACACACACACACACACACACACACACACACACACACACACACACACACACACACACACACACACACACACACACACACACACACACACACACACACACACACACACACACACACACACACACACACACACACACACACACACACACACACACACACACACACACACACACACACACACACACACACACACACACACACACACACACACACACACACACACACACACACACACACACACACACACACACACACACACACACACACACACACACACACACACACACACACACACACACACACACACACACACACACACACACACACACACACACACACACACACACACACACACACACACACACACACACACACACACACACACACACACACACACACACACACACACACACACACACACACACACACACACACACACACACACACACACACACACACACACACACACACACACACACACACACACACACACACACACACACACACACACACACACACACACACACACACACACACACACACACACACACACACACACACACACACACACACACACACACACACACACACACACACACACACACACACACACACACACACACACACACACACACACACACACACACACACACACACACACACACACACACACACACACACACACACACACACACACACACACACACACACACACACACACACACACACACACACACACACACACACACACACACACACACACACACACACACACACACACACACACACACACACACACACACACACACACACACACACACACACACACACACACACACACACACACACACACACACACACACACACACACACACACACACACACACACACACACACACACACACACACACACACACACACACACACACACACACACACACACACACACACACACACACACACACACACACACACACACACACACACACACACACACACACACACACACACACACACACACACACACACACACACACACACACACACACACACACACACACACACACACACACACACACACACACACACACACACACACACACACACACACACACACACACACACACACACACACACACACACACACACACACACACACACACACACACACACACACACACACACACACACACACACACACACACACACACACACACACACACACACACACACACACACACACACACACACACACACACACACACACACACACACACACACACACACACACACACACACACACACACACACACACACACACACACACACACACACACACACACACACACACACACACACACACACACACACACACACACACACACACACACACACACACACACACACACACACACACACACACACACACACACACACACACACACACACACACACACACACACACACACACACACACACACACACACACACACACACACACACACACACACACACACACACACACACACACACACACACACACACACACACACACACACACACACACACACACACACACCTCTCATATACTCATTCGCACCTATATGTATGTGTTAAATATGTACTCATATTCATTCATATAATTCATATAGTTATACAGTGAACGCTCTATATAAGTAACCTCTCTATGAGCAACATTCTTTATATTTTATTTATTCTACTTAGTTCAATAAAAAAAAATAAGTAAAAATATTTCCTAGGTATTTTTATACTCCTTGTTTCTTATAAGCAATTTTTCCCAATAAGATTTTTTTTATTGAAAGTGGTTCAATTGAGTATATATATACGTATATATACACAAATACGTGTGTGTGTATATATATATATATATATATATATATATATATATATATATATATATTCAAAGACATAATTTTGAGTAAAATCTATCACTGGTGTTTTCATCGCTAGCGAGACTATAAGATAGAATGAGATAGCTAGAATGAGCTAGCTGTCTTATTCCAACTCATGGCGTCGCTAGCGACAGCCAGCGTAGGATAGTTTTTAACAGCGTGTATTCCGTGCGGTGCGCAGATCACGTGCGTGATGGCGTGGGGGCTGATGTGCGGCGTGTGCGGCAAGCGGCCCGACGTGTACGGCGCCGGCGACTGCTGCAACAAGGGCCAGGGCTCCAAGTGCCTGCTGTGGTCGGTACCACGCCCCCTGCCTTACGACTTGACACTTTAGCTATTGAAACATAGTTAAACCGATTTCCCATAGCAATACAGTCCGACCCTTCATCTGTGTGATTTTCTTTCATATGTTAATTATTGATAAAACTAGTTCTTCATGCCAAATTATAGTTGTATATTAAATTACATGACATAGTCAAATGTCAAGAGATACCAAACAAAAAACGCACAGTCACTTTGTATAATATTGGTAGATTATTATATGAAATTAAAATTTGAAACCGATATTTAATTGTTTATTATTTTTTACTCTAAAAAAATATTGATATATATATATATATATATATATATATATATATATATATATATATATATATATATATATATATATATATATATATATATATATATATATACTCGGTGAGAGCTGAAAGAGATTCTTAACTTTTTTTTACGCAACTTAGAATGGCAAACAAGATGACGGCCCACCTTATGGAAAGTGGTAACCGTCGCCTATAGACATGAGCAGTACCATGGACATAACAGAGTATACTGTTTCGCCCATGATACCCCCCATGCGTTGCCATTCCTGAGGACTCGGGTGTTATTATAACTTGTTTTCCTATTTGTTCTCTATGGTATATTGTATAATGCGAGTCAAGTGATTGATAAATTGCTAATTCCTAGAGTGCTGTTGTAATGTTTGCTATAATGTCCGCCCGCGTGTTTGTTTACCAGCGGCATGGTGATAATCTTCGCGCTGGGCGGCGTGGTTACGCTGGTCATGCTCGCGTACTTCGTGGTCGGCATCACCGCGCAACGCTTCGTCTGCGACCCGCTCACGTTAGTACCACCTTACCATACCTCTCCATGTACCATAACTATATTTATTCATCATCAACATTTCAGCCATTATTTGTCCACTGCTGGACATAGGCCTCCCCCATAGACTGCTGTGAGGAGCGGTCCTGAGCCACTTGTTCTCACTATTATATCATCGTCATCTTTCTACCCTTATCTCAGTTATTATTTGTGGTCGGCGTAATATGGTTTTATCCATATTACTAAAGGATTTGGATTGTAGTTTAACGACCGGCCGCCTGCCTGACGTCAACCGTGCGTTTTTCAAGGCACTTTCTTCCACGCACAACCATTCTTTGGAATCAACTTCCAGCAGCAGTATTTCCGAACCGATACGACAACATAACCTTCAAGAAAAGAGTATATTCCTTTTTAAAAGGCCGGCAGCACACCTGCAATGCCGCTGGTGTTGTGGGTGATCATGGGCGGCGGTAGTCACTTACCATCAGGTGAGCCGCAAGCTCGTTTGCCCCCTGTGTTGTAAAAAAAAAATCTTTGGGAATTGTTCTCGCCATATGTATTACTTTATAATATTTACTGTGTATGTACATATAAGCCACATCATATTAAGTTTTTCTAAAATGCTCGAAAAAGTAAACAGTAATGATATGTTACAATTATTTCTATTTATACATTGTCCTAACGTTAAAATATTGACTTCTGTGTTATATTTTTTTTTATACAACTTAGAATGGCAAACAAGCTGACGCGGACGGCTCACCTGATGGAAAGTGGTAATCGTCGCCTATAGACATGAGCAGTATCATGGACATAACAGAGTATACTGTTTCGCACATGGTAGTGTTAGATGAGGTGTTATTCCTCTGTACCCTGTTTATTGTAATCTTTAGATACCTACTCCATGTAATGCTTACTCTTGTGGAAATAAAGTAAAGCAAATAAAGTATTCGATTGATCGAAAGTATAAATAATATCGTCCAAAGCTTTTTGTTTTTTGATTAATAATAATAATAAATTAAAATTTATTCAACACTCCATACAATTAAGGCATAAGAATGAATTGACTGCTAAAGTACAAGAAACGGGTACTCTGTCAGATCCTCTCGATTAAAAAAAACATAGCATCCAGGGACTGGTAGAAAGATTTACAGACTGAGAGCCGATTAATGGATTGGCTTCACCATATAATAAGAAAATTAAAAACTAACATCTAAACAGCATATTGCATTATTGTTCTATAGAGGAAGGATTGCCAAGGAGTAAATTAAAAAAAAAAAAAAACAGTTGTCCATTTAATTGTCGATGAGGGTAATGCGTATGTATGTGTGTATGCGTGTATGTGTCGCAGCGAGCCGCGCGGCAGCCGGCTGTTCGCGGACGTGGAGCGGTTCGTGCAGCTGGAGCGCGCCGTGTACAACGAGTCGGGCGGCGACTTCAACCTCACCGCGCTGCTCACCGCCTGCCACCGCAACCGCACCATCTTCCAGGTGCGTCCACCGTCACTCCTTCACTGCCGCCACACCGCACACCGCACACCGCACACCACCCGCACTACTGCCTCTTGCCTCGTCTACATTCTAATCACCATTCCATTCCAATACAGCCGATTTTTATACATGAAATATTTTTTTCTCAAACATGCTTGGAAATGTGAGCATTATCTTGACAATCTTCTTCGACATAAATCAAAATTGCCGTACTGGCCAGATACATGCGGGCAGTGGCCGGCAAAAGTTGTATGAAAATCCATATCTGTCATGTTTTGCGGCCAGATAAATTACTATGTAAATTCATATCTGTCCTGTAATTTAAAAATGGAATGACCTTTTATTTCGAAACATGGCTACCAAGGAGGTAACTAATAAAAGGTTTCTTTTTTAATTTCGAACTGGCTTGCAAATAGAAAGCTGTTTATTGAAAAAAAAAAAAAAACAAAGGAACATTATGGCGCGTGAAAAATTATTATTGTTTGTTATTCGTCATTGAACTTAAAAAGTAAAATTGTGTTTTTGATTTCCGCGCATTGTTTAAAAAAAAAGTACTATACAAGCTTTAGCCACAACTAGGCATTGATGGACGAACGTGCAAATGTGGGCCGAGGCGTAGCCGAGGCACACATACGTGAGTGCCTCAGTTGCTGGCCGCTGCAGTAATGTACTATTAAAATCAGTTAAATACTTTTGAGTTTGATCACAATAGATAAAACTCGAATTTTTCTTCTTATAATATTAGTTCAGATGAATTATAATAAGAATAACTTTATCTTTGTAAAGATAAGTGCGCGCGTGCGCGCGCTCTTATTTATGATCGTGTGTGTATGTGTGTGTGCGCGTGTGTGTGTATGTGTGCGCGTGTGTGTGCAAGTGCGCGCGCGCGCGCGTGTGTATGTGCGTGTGCGTGCGCGCGTGTGTTTGTGTATATTTTTGAAACATTTCAAATTCATATCACTTTTGATTGTATTCGATAACTGTAAACTGGATTGTCACTCCGCTCATCAATTACATTTGGGAATGTAATAAATGTACGGGGTGACGATGCAATACGTGTTCTCTGGTGGTCGACGGGCGGGGGGGTTCTGAAAGGGGTGGGAGTGGGCGACGTAGCGAGGCAGGCGAGGTTTGACGTGCGCGGCGGCGTTGCAGACGCTGCAGCTGCACCGCGCGGTGAACATGAGCGCGTGGCGGGCGCACGCCATGCAGGAGGTGGCGCGGCGCGTGGCGGCGCTGCGGCCGCAGTACCCGGCGGCGCGCGCGCCCGTCACCATCCTGCGGGACAGCGCCAAGCGCAAGCTGCGCCAGCTGGCCGACACCGGCCTCTCCGACTTCGACTTCGACCGCATCCTCGACGCGGTGAGTGCCTGCTGCTGAGTGCTGCTGCCGCCGTTGCTGCCGCAGCAGTCGCCCTGGTTGCAATTTTGGAGAATAGCTGTTTTTGTTATACACTTCTGGTAATTTAGTATGACAAAAGAGTTGACGGTTTGTCAATGGAAAGCGGTAAGTGTCGCCTTTTTTACATTTAAAAAACACCATTATGGTAGAATGTTCTGTTTCATCCATGACATTTCTGTATCTCTAAATCTGGCATATTACATTTTTGTAACTAATAAAGTTAGATTGATTTGCTTAGCAATAAAAATAAATGAAACAGTCGTATAGTCAATATTTGTAAAAAAAAAACTATTTTCCAATGAGATGAACGTATTACGAGATAACGAATACTGACAGTATTTCATTCCAAATATATCGAAAATTTAATGAAATATTGAAACCTAGATTAAATTTTAATTAAATGTTCGTAATTATACAAAATATGAAAGTTACGATAGTGGTCGAAGTGTCGAAGTAGTAGTGGTGATAGCGTAGTGACGTATCGCGCTGTGGTGCAGCTGGAGACGAACATGACGTCGCTGGCGCTGGACGCGCTGGCCGAGCAGCTGAGCGGCACGGCGCGCGCCGTGTCCGAGCGCGCCGGCTACGGCAACGTGACGCGCGAGCTGGCCGCCGCCGCCGCCGACCTGGCCGACCTGCACCACGACATCGTGCTGCCCATGCTCAACTACACCGCCGCGCTCAACGTGAGGCCTCACACGCACACGCACACGCACACGCACACGCACACGCACACGCACCGCCCGCACGGACACGCACCGCCCGCATACACATGCAATGTCCGCACACACACGCACCGCCCGCACACGCGCACGCACATACACGCACACACACGCACACTCTCGCGCACACGCACACACACACGCGCGCACACAGACACACACTCTCGCGCACACGCACGCACACACGCACACGCACACATGCACATACGCACATGGACACGCACACTCGCGCACACGCACACACACGCGCGCGCACACACACACACGCACACTCACGCACCACCCAGACACACCATGGGTAATATCGACCCAAATATATACATATATTGACCCAATAACAGGTACTTTAGATATCGTTTATCCAATATATAATATCGAAACAATATATAATATAATAACCGCTCGTGATGAATATAAGTACTACACACACTAGACTCTCCACACGCACCCGTTACGTACACCCACCGCCCACACAATCCTTTATACTTACATATATTTCATTATTCATATACACCATTCATACAAACGCCTCATTTATAGATTTAAACATTAACAGTGTACTACAAATTCTAAGACTTTAAGCCATCTCATACTCATACAACAATTGATGAGACTTCATGCAACGTTATTATAAAGTAAATTTTCTCGTTGATTTCTTGTCAACGATTACCAGTTACTCGCCGTGTAGGTCCCGGCTTAGAATGGACCACCCCTTCCTTTCCCGTGGGTGTCATAAGAGGCGACTAAGAGAGCATATGGTAGAGGGATGGGCAGCAGCGTCCCTCTAAAAGTATATGTAAAAGCCTAACTGCGGTTGCGAACCCGCCTGCCAAGCGTGGCAATTACTGGCGAAACTCCTCTGAAATAAATAAATTACCACTTATAATTACCACTTTACCAACAGTTACATTAATTGAATATCATTATTTTACATATGATATTATAAATAAAACAAATTAATTTCTTTTTCAAATTACAGACGACAGCTATGAAACTACGCGACGAGCTCCGGTTCAATCACACGTCGCTCAAGGACGCCATCTCGTACCTGATATACGAGACGACACAAGCCGAGCTGTATCTCAACACGCAGGGGCCTGATCTAATGCAAAATGTAAGAAAATGTGTTGTTTTTTAATCGAATGAATATGTCTGGAAATGTTAAAATGTAGATTAATTAGTTAGATAATAAATAAAAATTAATAGTTATTTTGCTATCTCCTTCCCTTAAGAGGGGAGATGTGAATTTTGTAAAAATTAATAGAAAGTAAGGAACGCTTTGAAAGATTTGTCATGATTTTGTAAGAATAGGTATGATAATAAGATTGTGTGCGTGCATGTGTGCGTGCGTGACTGTGTTTTTTCTTTTATACAATTTAGAATGGGAAACAAGCTGACGGCCCACCTGATGGAAAGTGGTAACCGTGGCCTATAGACATGAGCAGTACCATGGACATAACAGAGTATACTGTTTCGCCCATGATACCCCCCATGCGTTGCCATTCCTGAGGACTCAGGTGTTATTTCTCTGTACCCTGTAATTTCACACCATATCCCACCCTTCAAACCGAAACACGAATAGGACAGAGGTACCCAAGCAATCGACTTTTGTACAAAGTCTCCCTCTGTGTAGTAATCATATGTGTGTGTGATACATATTTTTAGAAGTTAATTTAATCTTCAAAGTCAATAACTTGTTAAGTGAGTTCTACTAAATATTTAAATCTAGTTAGCTTCATATTATGATTATTTTTGGTAGCCGATTAACCCATGGCAGATGCATCAGATTATTAAATTGTATAATTTATTACTTCTGGACACATTGCGTCGAAAGTCGGTTACTACGACGACAGAGCTCTTAGAGTGTTAGGTGTTTGAACGATGGAAGATCGGCAACCTCGTACTGCATGTTTTTTCATACAGTACACTGTACTTAGCGGACAGTTCGTGTAGATTGGCTAAGTGTGGTGTTAACGTCGGTATCGGCGATGGTTAGAGTGGTCGTTTCGAGGAGCCGGAGTAATGTTTTTGAGTGCGGCGTGTGGCGGCAGATGACGCGCGAGTTCGCGGAGATGGTGGGCGCGATGCTGGACGGGTACCTGGCGCGCGTGCAGCACGCCGCCGACGAGCGCCTGGGCCGCTGCGGCCCGCTCTCCGCCGCCTTCAACGCCACGCGCGACGCCGCCTGCCGCAACATACTCATGCCCACCGTGCGTACCGCGCGCACACGCGCACGCGCACACGCACACGCACACGCACACGCACACATACACGTACACACACACACACGCACACGCACACACACGCGCGCACACACACATACACACGCACGCACATACACACAAACACACACACACACACACACACACACACGCACACACACACGCACACACACGCACACGCACACACACACATGCTCACTATTCATAGCTTTATTTTTTATATTTAGAAGACCTTATAAACAAGTCTATTTAAAAATCATTTCTAGTTTCATTATTCTCTTGTCTTTTTGCATTTATTCAAAGTCGGCGCAGTATATCTTCTGTCTATCACGCGAATTACTATCAACCATCATATCTCATTCCCCTTCTTTACATATCATCTTTTATTCGGATCGAACTACTTTTATATTCAAAATCATTACTAAATCGAAGCTTTCGTGCCTCCTAAAAATGTCTTTTATTTTACTAATTTCTCACATAAATCGCACGTTTTTACCTCTAAATAGGATGTAAAAGCTTATATCAAAGCACTGAGTAATTTCAATAAAACAAATAAAAAAATTAAGACAGATTTTTTTAAACTCTGAAAGAGTAAAAAATTTGCGTGCAAATTACACGAACATTCAGCAACATCGGTTTACGTATACATGCCGCTGTTAACATGGACGGTGGCACGGCATTTCAGAACGGCTACTGGATGTCTCTGGCGTGGTGCGTGGTGATGGTGGTGCCGCTGCTGGTTGTGGCGCAGCGGCTGGCGCGGCTCTACCTGCACGTGGACCCGTACCCCGGGCCGCTGGTCGAGGCGTGAGTACCGCCCTTTGTACACTACCGGCGCGACCACTCCCCCCGCCTTACACACTCACACCCACACACACACACTCACACTACGCGCAACACTAGAAGTATTTATACTCATTACGTAACTCGGTACCAATAACAATTATTACGTAATTTTTGTTTATCTGTGGATAAATGTCCAGTTATTTCATTTGTAAATTTTAAAAAGTGTGAAACTTTTGTCTATGGATATGGGTGGATATCCTCGGCCTAATTTATGAATTAGTGGTAAACACTTCTTAGTACAATTATTAATTAATTCAATTTAATATATTTATATTATACTGGACACAAAAGGATTCTAACTGGAGTCATTATTTTACATAAGAATTTAAAACTGCCTAAATATAAGTATTGTAATATTAAATACCCACTACACCTTTCCTTCAAAGTACATTTTAGTGAACAAACACACAAAAATACAAAGCGAATCCCACTCCACACAAGTGTTGTCATACAAAAATGATTGAACTGATGGACTGCTGTCAATCATTATGTGAACGCACGCGCACCTTATAATTTCAGCTTCAATTATTTTTATATGGCACTTTGATATAATGTTACTTTGTAAATGCACTGTATGCATCCCTAAATTAAGGTCTGATTTATCGTATACACTCCATGGTGTTTTCAAGAAAAAAAATCTATTTTTTAAATTCAAATAAACTGCATTTTTTAAATTATGTAAACTTGATTGTATCGTTCGATTGACACAGTTCAGATTACATCGATGCCCTTAATTTTTAACGTGTAACCCAATAAATTGTACATTTTGAAAAATAAATATTTTTACATATAATATACTAGTTGCAACCTGTGGCAGATAAAAAATATCCTATTTTTTTGCCTAGGAAATAATAAGTAATGCAAGTTCCACTATATTAAATTCCATCCAAACCTGTTAACCTATTTCGATTTAAAGAGATGAATATATCATTATAATCTTTTACATTTATAATACAGGCTGAGTTATTATGATTACATATTTAGGGCTGCATACAGCGAATGCGTGCGCGACGCACTGACTACGGGCGCACGCGCACGCTACACGCAATAGGTTAAGACTCATTCACATACCATTATCATCACTGATTGTTTGCAGTTGATTTTGAACCTTATTATTTTGAATGCTCGCAAGATCGAAACCAGAGCATACGTATCAGAGAAGGCACGATACATTTTGATGTTTATCAACTATAAGTCGATCGATTAAAATAATAAGAAAATCATAAGACTGCAAACTCTTTTTTTTTATTATTTTTAAATTTATTTTCGTTTAACTTGGATTGTTCAGTTTTCTTTTTTGTTGGGAGCTGTGTTAACATTCAGTTTGTACTGTATGAGTTTGTCGATGTGTCTGATTTGGGTTTGTTGCGCACACTCATCCCGCTGCCTCTGTATGGGTTTGCCCCTTGCATACAGATTAACTCAGAATGCACCAGAACTGACCTGGCCCTCTACTGCATCTAGAGAGTGGGACGTGAAACTTTTGATCCCCTGGCTCAAACGGTAGCCGATACATATTCGTATGGGTTCAGTATTTGTGAACACGAGCGATGGGGTCTGGTACGAAGAGCTAGCGCTGCGCCATCTAACGGCACTACATTGTCGGAAACTATTATTGATGAAAGTATAAACGAGGAGACGAGTGATTCATTGCTCTGCGAACCAGGGCATTGTGTATATATGCTTTGATAAGTAAATGATTAATGTAACAAGTAAATTTAAAATGATTTAAAATCCCTTATTACATTAATGTAAAATTATTGATTTAAAGGTACAAAATGTTATGAAAGTGATAGAGTCGATGCCATATAATATTGTATTATTCGAAAAGTTAAAAAAAAAAACAACCAATCGGTACGGTCTCTATACTTGATGAAATGAATAAAACGTAATTTGTAATCAAGTATTTTTTTTAATCTTTATTTTTTATTACATTAATAAATATTAGATAGATTTAAAAGATTTTAAACGTGGGACAAAAGTACGGTTAGATCTCAGCGAGCGATGAGAGTTTAATTTTCTGTGTTCAGTTTTCATGTTTTAGTTGGCTCACTCATCCTCATTACTTAGGTAAACTAAAGAGCCTGGCGCTCCATGACAAAACGTCCGCAGTATGTTATATGATTTGACCCAACCCAGAAGAACTGCGCTGCTGGCAGTGGGCAGCGCGCATAGATATATATGAAAATAGACGACGCAAGTAGTTCGATCTATTAAAATTATTAATTTATAAACACTAGGCGTGTCCTATTTTTTATCTTTAATGTGATATTGCAAAAATCTAAATTAATGACAGCAAAGCCTTTCTGCATCAAAGTCTTTTGAAAATATCACGTGCAGTGCTATTGTCTTGTCTATTTTTTCGAATACGAAACAAAATTAAGACGGAATTCATGTTATTTCGAGGTTATTTAGAGCGAAATATCAGTGTGCAAAGTGAATACAAAAATAAAAAAAAGGAACCCAGACTGGGATTTTATATAAAAGTTACAAGCTTGCTGTATGGATAAACACCTAAGCAAATAAGCGTGTTTCGGTATGAAGGGCAGGATAAGGTAGTGAAATTACCAGAAACGGAGAATATTTTAGGGCGTTCCGAAATGACAAAACATGTGCGATACCGTGGATATTACTAAGTATTGTGCGATGTTCATCGTTGTCGTCGTTCGACATTGCAAGGTGCATAGAGAATTGTTGAAAGTAGTTGCGTCGTCTATTGAGATGTATAGCTGTGCGTGCGGGGGCGCGTAGTGTAACGCGGCGTGTTGTTGGCAGTAGCGAGTACGAGCCGATGTGCGCGGCGCGCGGCTGGTGGCGGTGACCCTACGCCTCGTCCGGTAACGCTCGGCTCGCAGCTCGCAGCTCACAGCTCGCCATCGACGACGCCGCGCCGCCGCCCCGGCTCCATCTATATAATCTCTAATGATCGCCGTAGGCTAGTCGCTTTCAAATTGAAACAGTACTGGCAAAAGTTGCACATTTAAACAGTAGTCCGGATATTTTAGGTTTAAACTAATGAATATCACGTGTAGCCTACGTCTTATATAGATAACGAGTTAATAGTTTAAACGCGAAAATTAAACATCTTTCTAAGTAAAAACAATAAAGCAGGATATGTCGAATATCTGAACAAAGATAGAACCAGAGATCCAGATAGAATCGAATAAATCTGCGCAAATTTAAACTAGCAATTGTGACTCTAGCTGAATATATATTTTTACACGTAGGCTTTATAAGAGTCAATACAATCTCTTTATATCTTCAATTCAATGTTAAAATATTCGCCCGTTCAATTGTTGGTTTGATCATAAAGATAATCTCGATATTAATGAATATTTAATTATAAATTAATAAATATTTTGCAGTAAAAATTATATGTATATTTTGCCTAAATAAAACGTGTGCGGCGAGGGCACAGTCCGCGGGGTGGCGCGCGTGTGCTCTTCGATGTCGATACTCGTTCGCTCGCTCGAACGTATAGTGCGCAACCACTTATAGTATGAGTATAGTATAGTATATATATTATTGTAACGTTCACGTCACGTTGTCGAGCGCGTGCAGGGTGCGCGTTCGAGCGAGCGAGCGCCTCATTGCTCGATGTTCCATTCGATGTTGTACCTTGTATAGCTACGGAGTACTAGGAGGTAGGTAGGCATGCATCGCTAGCGCATACATTGCTTCCGGTACTACCACTCGACGGCCTACCTCACACACCTACCGTTCGATGTACCTCGAACGTACATTGCCCTTCATTTTATTTGCATTTTACTGTAAATAACCACATAGTGACTTGTACAGTTTCTGTTCAGTTGTTATTATTTTATGTTACCATCGACCTCCATCCATCATTGTAATTAAAGTTACTGTTAAGTAGGTCGTTTCGTTTAGCTGTCAGTTACATCAGGATCGATACATTACTCTTAAGAAATTCCTCTTTTTGTCCTTCATATTTGCCTACTTTGTAATGCATATGCCCCTAATATATTTAATTGTAACAGAATGTCTAGTTTTTATACATTTATCAATACCCATTGATTCTATACTTTACTCTAAACCTAGACAGAAACTAGTGTATTTTCTTGTACTGTATCCCCCAGAGTATTGTCATTGTGACGACCACAGCTCGCTAGTCCAAGAATTTGTTACAAAATCTAGTCCAATTACTTTTATGTTGTGTTCATTACCTCGCCGCTCTCTTCACACTCCCGAATCCGATATTTAAAGCATTTCGATGCAGGAAATATCCTGAGTATCGAGTGTATTATAAAATATATCTTAATACCTTTATTAGTATACGCGGTGAAATATAAATAATCAGCATCTTTTTTAGGGAGTATTCTATCAGTAAAATTGAATCTTTTTTCAAAGAAATATGGGTTTGAAAAATTATAAAAAAAATTTGCGTCTCCCATATTGACTTCTGTACGCACTGTGTATAGGAGGCTCAAAATTTTTGATCCTTTTTTGTCGAATATTTCTTTAAGAGAAACGTTCAGTTTTACTGGTAGAAAGCTCCTGTAAAAGGATGTAAATACATTAATATTTCACTGCGTATAAAGTAACGGTACGTACGCGGGGAGTGTGTGCGAGCGGCGCGGCCGCGGCGGCTGATGACCGTCTGTTGTCTGTTGCAGCGAATATTTGTATGACGCGTACGCGGACCGCGATAACGTACCCCTTGCCAAGTAAGTGCCCTTAGGACACCCTACGTACGAGTAGGTACCTAGCCGCCCTAGCTACTACGCTGCATGCGCCTTGCCTGTTTACATCTCTTACATGAGCTTAGTCGTAATGGGCATACTGAGCCGAAATCCAGCGATAATATTTATAGAAACGAATAAGTTTCTCAAGGACTATAAAATAATTATAGATTCGTTTATACTAAATTAATCACGTGATCGCGCTGTTTGTATTAAGTGTTTGAAAAGTATCTTGATATTTCAACTATATTCCTTGGGAAAAGTTGTTCAGTTTCTTGAATACTAATATTGGCTTGGTATATTCATTACTACTAACCCTGTATAGTGTACGTTCAGCTCTATAAAGATTGCGACTGCGCAGATTTGTAAAGCTGAGTTTACATTGCATGCATGAGTTGAATAGCTTCCTTGGTTTCGGTTTTTTTCTCCTAATGAATAGTTTATCTTTGGTTGATTCTAATTTTGAATTAGAATAGTTATTTACGCTGGTGGACGGTATGGTTTTTATTGGTGTCTAGTTTTAGAGCAACGAGAAGCATGCGGTCGCGGCAGCATGGTCGCTAACACGTGCACGTAACCCCGCATGGAGTACGCGCAGCGGGCTCTGTTACTTTCTGTTGGATTAATTTCCGTTCATTTCCTTTGGTTGAGTTACTTTAACGAGTAGGGCTCACACTTGTCACCGTGTAACGGTCGGCCGCGTGCGGTGCGGGCGCGATGTAGTGATGTGACGTTTGGTTGTGCACCGCGGCGTCAGAGGCTCGAAGCGCAGCACGCTCGACATCGAGGGCAAGATCGCGGAGTGGCGCGGCCGCCAGCCCACCGCGCCGCTCGCCTCGCCCGCGTCCGGCGCGTCCGGCGCGTCCGGCGTGTCCGGCGCCAACGCCGCGTCCGGCGCGTCCGGCGGCGGCCGCTCGGGCACGCGGCTGCTGCTGGCGGGCGACGGGCCCGAGGTGGTGTGCCAGCTGGTGCCGCCCGCGCTCATCGACGACCTCAAGACGCGCCTCGACGCCAAGGACGAGGACAACGAGTCCGGCATACACGAGTCCGAGTAAACGGCCCCACGCTCGTCGCCGCTCAGTTTTGTCTATGATTATATCTTTTTACATTTTATTCTCAAAAGAAGGTCACTTGTTTATCAACCTATTTACCTATTAGTTATTGGAGTGTTTTGTCTCTGTCTTTCGAGCTTAATTATCACTTTGAAAGAGAGGTTCGAAACGTATTTTGTTATACTCATACAGTTTTATTGAACGAACGAATGAATGAAATAAATACGCTCAGGCGTTTGCATTTTTTTTTTTTATAATTAAAGAGTATTTAACACGGTGTGAATGTTATTTAAAACCATCGACTTTAGTATTTTTAATAGTTTTGACGTATTAAATACATGTGTATTAATATTTTGATGGAATTCATAATTGTATTAAATATACGAATTAACGGAGGGAACACAATTGTTTACTCAACGAATCGTATTGAATGTTTAATAAAAATATAATATTACGCACGTAAGGGACAGTCTTTTGCGTACGTGTTGTTTGCCAAAATGAACACTAGACAGACTATAATAAGAAGGACTAAACTACCGTCTTTATCTCTATATCACACTCCAGAAACTTAACACAAAAACGGCGTTAACGAGATGAAATTTTTTTTAAAACGATGCGTCGTTTTCTAATGATTATATTTTTCACAGGGAGGGGTTGAGGTAATCTTGAGGGACAGGGTTTAACCTGGATTCGTGACGGTATCTAGTGAAAAAAAATATGCGTTAAAATTACACCAAAGACTGTCTCTGATTGACTCTAGTCTACGTCTTTACACCTTTAATATTTTACCATAGACAAGAAACTAAGTATTACGTGATTTTACCGTTCTAGTATTTAACTTTTTATATAATTCGAATTTCGATGTTAGATTTAAGTGTATTAAGGCTTTCGCAGACGAAGGACATTTTGTGCGAGAACATTGTTTCCCTTTATTTGCCTTGTCTTCTCGGACTTACAGATACGCGGCATAAATTATACTTTGGTCTTAAAAGCCTTAAGATCAATGCTGCAGCGTACACTTGTTATTTAAATATAAGGTTATTTTCTCATAGGGATATTTTCTCTGCGTACAAAATATCCGTCGCATGCGCAGCCGTTTATAAGTAACTGGTTCCAGTAAGCAGCCATTTCTGTGTGGGCGTGCAACGCGAAATGTCTTCCATGGCCAAGAGCGACCATCCCTCGAGTCTGCTGTCCATTCTCGTAACGTATTCATATCAACTATCGCGTTTTATATACTATTTATATAAAATTATACTGTTTTACTAATGTTTTAGCATAAATTTGTCTCCGAAGGGCAAGTCTACGTTTTATATCATCACATCTACCGACTATATCAAGTATATCACTAAACAATATATTATAAATAGAATATACAGTTAAATATAGTTCCGCTTTCGCTTGTATTGCCGCGACGGACGTAGGGTATGACCGGGAAATAAGTTAGCAAAAGTAATTTCTCGAAAATGAATTTAGCTATTGAAACATTTACAAGTAGATTATGTTACAGGAAAATCTCGATTATCGGAATCAAATAAAACCCGGTTTAATGATATTCCGTATAATCGAAAATCCGGTTTAATGATATTCCGTATAATCGAAAATCCGGTTAATCGATGTCAAAGTCAAATCAAACAATAAATAAATTTTAATATTTGTTTAAAATTTTGTTTAGAAATAATTAGTTATTAATCTTTGACGTAATAAATCGCATTTTTTCATTGCGGCTAAGACCCTAATGGGCTTCAGTTGTAACAACTGTATAGGATCAGATTCGTCCTGTTTTTTTTTCCGGATAATCGAATTTCGTATAATCCATTTTCGGATAATCGAGATTCTACTGTATTTGTTGGTATTACATTTGGAAACATTAGTCCGTTTAGGTTTAAAAGCCATTGGCTTCAAAACTTGGCCAAAATATTACTAAGTTTATGTTGAAGATTATTATCACATTTTGTGACAATAAAATTGTAAGAAAATAGTTGTACCTAATGTCTCACTTGTTTATAATAAGGACTGCCATGCTATTTACTAACCTAAGCGAGACTTGGCCAATTCTTACCTCGGTTCGACGACAAAGTTACGTCCAAAGACAATCTACAACCGCTTGTGCCTCGCCAAACGTTTGCGTTCTGAACAAAGATTGGACGATAATGTGACACTTTTTAATACTTATACGCGAGCTTTATAGATCAAAGTGTGTGGCCAATGTTTGTCCCGAACTCGCAACGTTCACGTTTGTAACCCGTATACTATGATGCAACGCTTGTACAATGTTCGATCTCATAATATAAGTACATATATAATCATACTGTAGTGAACTTTTATACGGCGTACCGATTATCATTTGGAGGAGTTTTTCAAGTAGTTTTGATACTGTACAATACAGTAGCGTGGTTTGTATATGCATTTACTGTTCTCGTTGAAAGTCCATGATTGCACTTTTGCAATAACAAGTAGGTAGGATTATAAATTTCGTTAGTTATAAACATCTCGTGCTTCTGTCGTGATGTTGCCATTTGAGAATTTCGAAATTTTGATGTTAACCACTAAATAAATTTTGTAAAAATTATATTTTAGTAAATTTGATGATATATAGGCGTCGGATATTGATATTTTTTTAATTAAATATGAACTTTTAAATAATATTATTACAAATTTGTGTTAATTAATTTACTTATATATATTACTACAACACTGCAATATTTGCAGTGAATTTAGAAAATAGTGCGCCTCTCATGAAGAGAAAAATGTCTGAATTTATAATAATAAATGTAAAAAGTAGTTTTTTTACATTTTTCTATATAGATAATTTTTTTTATTAATTTATTTAACTAAGTCAAGAAACGGGCAATTATGTTATAATTTGTATAATTAAAACAGTGATATAGTATTTATCATATCAATAATTTAGTTTCATGATATTTGATACGCCACTAGATCGTATAGTTAAGAACTATATTCATATGAAGGAAATAACATTAGATAGTTTGCTCATAATATTGGGCCATAGAAAGCAAGGCTTTCTACACTACACACTTATTGGTGATGGAAATAGACAGCATATCAGTATTACAACATGTTATACAGGGCGCAAGGGATGGGTTGGCAAAAACGGAAACAGTGAGTTCAGGCTATTATTCTGAAATGACAACCAGTAGAATTTCTTTCCGGAAAATTTTAAATTTATTTTCTGCTTTTTCATTTAAAATTATGTAATTTATGATATGAAATATAATAATAATATTTTATAGTGAAATACTATGAAAGACTAAAGAATAGAAACGTAATACACGTTTTAAAATCCTACCGCGACACGCAGAATCAGCTGCATAAAGTCAACGCCACAAGCGTACGAAAATTACCTACGAAGAAGCGCGCTACTGAGCGCTCGCTGTAGGTATCACGCGTCGTGTGGATCGTAAAATTTCAAATACATTGCGCGGCGTTCATACTTAAGAATCGTTAATTATACGGCTGTGGTGCATTTCCAGTGGAAAAATAATCTGCCATCTGATTCAGACCGTTCACCTGGATTAGCTGTTTTCGTTTTGGCCAACCTGTCCCTTACATCCTGTATAATGTTTTAGGGGCTCGCTTCGCTAGATAGGTGAACATATATAAAAAATAAATAAGTACACGTACTTGTGAATGTTTTTTACATTTACCTATATACTCCTAAATTTGTATATCTACTACAATGTAGTTGCACTGAAGTGAATTGATGTACCCGTGCTGCCAGTATCTCTCACACTTATCGTGTTAGCTAGGTAGGCATAATACAATTATACATAATTAAAAATTAGTACAATAAGTTTTTAATACTAATAACCTATACTTACAATAACTTAGTTAATACTAATATTAACTTATCATATTTGATATGTTTAGCAATATGTCACATGTCTGCATTTTAATGTATCTGCATGTTTTTTTTTTATTAAAAATCCATTGACTATTTTGAAAGTTGTTTTTTAAATATACAGAACTAAAAATGTATGAAGTAAAGCTTATTCTAAGCATATTCTAATTTTAAATGTTTAAATGATTTTCATATTTAAATGGTAGGTGACGAGATGTAACAAACGTAAATTAGTAAACGAAAACAATGTTGTGCCAATAAACTACTTAGTAAATATATTTCATTCTATTTTTATTATAATTGTAGAGTTTCGGAAAATTTTTTGGTATTATGTACAATGTCTGAATACAAAATGAAATATCTCCCTTGGGTCATAATAATTCACTTGTAATAATTGTACATTTATAAAAAGTCTTGTAATAATTATTACATTCACCTAAATACATAGATAATTATTTTTTATCAAAGTGTTTGACATCATACGTGTTCTAATATTGTTCGTTTTTCTTAATATTCGACATATTGCATTATCAATTAAGATAATATCCAAAGCATTAATTCTTGTGTCCGTAAACAGTATTTAAGAGTTGCCACGTTATGTCAACTGTACCTATGTTATATACACATCTTGATGTTTCAAATTTATACCTACACTGTAAGGTAGCTGTTTATACCTATTTGTAAGTAACGCTTGTATTATAGATGTTTGTCGGATTTATATTCATTACCTTGTATCAAGTTGTTTTATTTTCTAATATTAAACAAAATTGCGTTGTATATCCGAAGACATTCTATAAATTCCATGCTATTTTTTATACTGCTAAAATTGGTTAAAATGTTGACGGTTTACTTGATGGATTAGTGGTGACCGTAATTTTTTTTACTTTGTCTCTCCTTAAAGTCGTTCAATGAAACACTAAGATTAATACAGTAGTATTTTGTAACGTGTCGAGATATAATAGTAGTGAGTTTACTCTGACTCGTGTCGGCGAACTGGCTGATTGTACGCCGAAAGTTGGTCCAATGTTGGCCGAAAGTTGACGCTCTGTAGACCGAAAGTTGACTTATTGGTCAACCAGGACGGAGTTGCAACCTGCCGACCGCTCATATTGTTGACGGTAACGAATTACATTATATACTTACCTCTGCGTGTGCTTGCGACACTGGGTGCATTTATTTTTGTTTGTAGATCTTGATTTCTTTTCTTTCTTGCACATTTGTTGTTTGTAATCTTACGCTGTAATTAGAAGTATATTTTTTATAATTATTTTAATAATCTTTCCCTTTAAAGCGAATCTTACATCTTGGGTACAGAGGAATAACACCTGAGTCCTCAGGAATGGCAACGCATGGGGGGTATTATGGGCGAAACAGTATACTCTGTTATGTCTATGGTACTGCTCATGTCTATAGGCGACTGTTAGACGACCACTTTCCATCAGGTGGACCGTCAGCTTGTTTGCCATTCTAAGTTGTATAAAAAAAAAAAAGTCTTGTTCGTTACTCTGTTTGAGTCCATAGATTGTTATTTGCTCTTCTATTACAGTTAATTGTTTGATATAATAATATTTTATGTATATATTTATTTATTTAATATATTATGTGTATGTTATTATTAATGTTTTATATTTTTCCTCTATTCAATAATGCACCGCCTACTTATTTCTCGTTTTGCCCAGTTGTTAGCGTGCCACGTTTCGTAGACAATATATATGTCTTCTAAGATTATCCCCCCCCCCCCCCTCTCTTAGACAAGTAGCAAACGCATATATAGATAGATACATGCTGTGTGTTGTTTTATCTGATGCAGCCAGTAACGAAACCATGTCTGCCGATGGATTCTTTTGCCATTTGTCTAAGCGGGCTCGTCCACTTGGAATGTTTCAGTTAATATAGAAATATAAATTTAACTTTTTTTTTTTTAATTTCCGCCATTATACTTTTAGTGATATTTTGGTTATGGCACTGGTTTGTTTGGACGGGTTGGTTTGGTGGATGCATGTGCGCACGCTATTTTTTTTTTTTTTGACCAATAGATACTTATATTTTTGGTCAGCTTTTTACGGTTTGGATACAATATTATTTGTATATTTATTTTTTTTTTATTTAGATAAAGATGCCGGCTTCAAACGTTATTAGAATTAGGATTATTTATTTAGATACAAATTAAGATAACTTTGCAATGCAAAAAGGTTCAAAGCTCAACGTGGAATTCAAGAGCGAAATAATAGTTCAGTAACGCTGAAAACTAATCAGAAGCTATAAAGATTGTTCAGTTGTTTTAGAAAATTGACAATTAATTGCGACGTTGCCATATTTCGGTCAGTGTTCATAACCTTTTTATGAACGCTTTTACGGTAACACGTAGTGATGTGCAGCGCTCGTCTGGTAATTTTATCGATGTTGAATAAAACTATTTTTTTTGTTGATAACTTGTTAAAGGAATAAAAAAGATATTTTTGAATAATTTAATTTACCCCTATTTATTTGACTAAATTGCTTCATTATTAATAACTACGCTAGAAATTGCTAGAAAATTTTATTGTTTCGGTCTTGGTAGCATAATTATCGTACAAATGCTACATTTACTGCAGCTTTTTATTTTTGTATATGATGTAGGCATTATGTTGCGGTTCTACTCTATAACTACTCAATCAATGCATTATTCTATAGTTATAATAATTATCCTCGAACCTTCATTTATTCTCATATTATGCATTTTCATAAATTTCGTTAAAGTTTTTTCAAAATTAACTTTCGCGCTGCATGTTTTAAATAAGATGGGAATTAACAAATTAACTTTATGTTCAGAAGTCGGCTTTTTCATTTAATTAGAAAACAAGTATTCGTAGTTCCGCTGCCAGGTGGAAATGTTTGTGTTGCCGGGTGTTGCAGCGCCTACAAGGCAGAGAAGAGGGCCGGGCGCGAGGGTCGCGAGGGGCGAGACGGGCGCGTGCGCGGGCGCGGCGAGGGGGAGGGAGGCGGGGGCGGCGCGCGGGGCGCGGGGCCGGCGCGGCCCGAGGCCGCCGCGCTGGCGCCGCCTCTCGACGCACACCACGCGCGCAGATATAATGATATGGCGCCAAAGTGAGTATCCGCCATTTTATTCACCATTTGTCATACTCGATCTTGTCCACAATAATTTGTCACCACAGATGTCTCTGAACTTTTTACTTTTCTATTATGTCACTCTTATAACATATTGCAAAACCACTATAATAATACAATGCAGTCAAAGTAAGAGTAATTTTTCGCTGTATTGTAGCGTGTTAGCTATCAAAGTAAAAAAATCTAAGAGTTAAGCTACGTGTAGAAAAAATCTTAGATATCATTAATAAGTTTCTTTACTAAGTGATATAAACTAAATAGATAGTGCATATCCTTACTCTTCAAGTAACAGTTGAAGGGTAAGGCCAAGGTCGTAGACGTTACTATTCTTGTTTTGATCGCATTGTGACGAGTCACGCTCTGCTCGGAGTGCACGCGCACCAGCGATGCGCACGTTCAGTACGAGTGCACGAGCACGACACGCGCGACGCGGGGTGACGGTGTCCGACTGTGTATTGCAGGCACTGGGAAGAAGGCCCTCCCCGCTACCACGGGCCTACTGAGTACGAGCGACCCCCACCATACTACTATCCCGGACCAAAGTGAGTAACATACCGCTGGCTGCCTGTTGAATGACATCAACTAACATAAACCATTTAAACTATATTGTCTTAAGATTATAGAATAATCAATTATGATTCAGAGACAGTAATTATGTCACATAAAATTATGAATCAGATTCAGTACTAAAAATCTTAACGAAAGGATTTTTTCCAACTCCAACTTGATTATAAATAGAGATTTTATTAAAGAAAGTCGAACGGAAAATGATTAAATTTTGCAAAAATAGAAATTTTTTAAGCAATAATTTTATTAAAAATGTACTAAGATATTGTAGATACATAATAGATTATAGAATATCATCCGGCTCGAAATATCACAATAAATTTGATTTACGGATATTAGTTAATCGGTTTAATTTGAATATTAATTAATTAATGTAACAGTACAAATATGTTATATATTTTATTTTTCAGTGATAGACAGTAAATTTGCGCTCACCGAACTAGAAGAAGATCTACTAAAGTACTGAGGTCCACTCCACTCTTCCCCGCCTTGACTGTGAGGCGTAACATGCAACACGCAACGAAACAACGCAACATGATATGTTGCATTACATTTAATCTTTATACGACTATTTTTCCATAGTAATATGAGAAAATATAAAGTATATTTACAATAGGAAAGACGATACAAAGTCATTTAATAGGATAGTCATTATGTACTTTCGAGAAGTAATTATATTTTGAATACCAGTGCGATTTAAATGATATTCAAATTATTGGAATGCGTATGGAGGTAGTGTGATTGGTCACAGGCCATAGACTGCCTGACGAGAACTCTAACAGGCTTTGCAAGCATTCTGGGCGCCTAATACTCGTATTCGGCGTCAACTATGTCGTACATGTATAGTAATTTCACATATACTGGTGTAATTTACTTTGCATGGTCATACGTTACGTCGCCTTGTAAACGATATTGATAGGTGATAGCTTGAATATGTATGTAAGAGTTCTGAATTGCAAGAATTAACGATAAAGTTTTTATTCTGATTATTCATTGACGGGCAATTTTTAAAAAGAAACAGTTTTACATACCCAGGTATAGAGTTGTTATATCGATATCTAATCAGAATAGAGTCCCCATCACTAGTGAGGTGCTGGTTTGGCGTGAGATGGTTAAATATATTCGACGTTGTGTGTAGCCGTAACTATGATAATATTATCGTAAATTGTAACGTAGTGTCGTCGGTATGTAAATAAATATAAGTGGTATTAGAGACGGAGAACGGAGAACGGGGTCGACTCTCGGACACAGTAACTGCCATATTTCGACTGTCCATTTTGTTACGTTGTTTTGTAGTTTCGTCTCTACGTACTTCGGCTCAACGTTGACTTAGTATATTTGTGACCGCACGGTCGATTTGGCTTTAAATAATTTGTCAGAATTATAATTATATACTTTATACGTTTGTTGAGAGATCGCGGGATGCAAAGCCGCACAAAACATAATTTCGAAATCTGTGAGATTCTTTTATATTAAGCTTATTATCTTAATTTTAGGTAGTCGAAGTAATTCTCCCTCGTTTTTTCATTGCGCCCCTCCTCAGTTGGGCTGCTGTTCGTCTGCTTTGGTGTGGTTCGAATGAAAAAGCGATGGAGTGAATGTAACGAGTCAGTAGGTGGTAGCGTTCCACTGGTTCACACGTACACGTCACGTCACGTCACGTCACGTTGACGGTATCCGTATACATTTATTATTGAAGATTTACAACTAGCGTAATGGTGGGTACGGGCGGCGACTCGAGCTAACGCGCCGGCGGCCGCGCCGCACGCGCTCTGTGATCCTTTATTTGTTGATTTATTACTACTTTTACCATTGACTTCCACTTCTCTCTCTTAGAGAGCAGTCCCGAGATACACTGAAATCGAACTGACTATCTTACGAAAGAAGCAAAAAAGAATATCCATCTATCTAGTACCTGACAGAAAAAATAAACATTTATCTCAAAGAAACACTACTCGGAAACCAAAAAAAAGTTCGAGGCTTACCATGTTAGCACATGGTAACTTTCAGCTGTTTCAGGAAGTTATTTTTCTTTTGTCGTTTTTGAACACATTTTCCTTGTAAAAAACATTCAGTTTTACTTGTAGAACCCTTTTTAATTGCTCCCTAGCAATTATTACTCGAATGGGGAACACGTACTAAAATAATTTCTTTTTTCTTTTATTATACTCTTTTTTTTTAAATATAGTTTTGTCTATATTTTTATGTTTACTATTAACCCACCTAGGGTGCTATTTACACTATGCTTCCTCGTATCCCCCCCCTGCCCCCGCCACGTTCGCGTTTAGTAGACGGCGTCGTCGCCGCATTATGTAAACTCTGCTTTTTTTTTACTTCTCCTTATTACTAAGCAATTTTGACATATATTTTAAATGATTTTTGTTATTTAAAAAATGTTGTGGACACAAAGATTATAGTATTTTTTTATACAGGTTGGCCAAAACGAAAACAGCTGATCCAGATGACCGGTCTGAATCAGATGGCAGATTGTTTTCCCACCGGAAAGGCACTGCAGCCGTATAATTAACGATTCTTAAGTATGAACGCCGCGCAATGTATTTGAAATTTTACGATGCACACGACGCGTGATACGTATGCTGTTACTGTTTTTTGGTACTTCATAGTATATCACTAAAAAATATTTTTTTTTTATATTATGACACAAAATTATAGATTACATGATTTTGAATGAAAATATGGGGGGGGGGGGGGGTTGGAATTGAAATTTTCCATAAAGAATTTCCACTGGCTTTCGGTTCAGAATAATGGTCTGAATTCACTGTTTCAGTTTTTGCTAACCTGTCCCTTACACGCTGTATTCAGTAACTTCAGTAAGACAGTATGTCAAAATTATTTACTAAAAAGGGGAATTTAATGGAAACATAGAGTATATTAGGTGTATGTATTTAGATAAGGTATGTGATTATGCAATTTTTATCAGTTGACTCGGTGCGCGAGGCGAGTGCAGATCTTTATTTTAGTATTAACGTGTCATACTGTATTTGTTAGTTAGGAACGTTATATAAATGTATGCCAAATGTAATGTGGCTGGCGTCCGATCTCCGAGGACCACTGTTGGGGCTGTACGAACTTGTGTCGGCTTGTGAGCGACGCGGCTCGAGCGGCGACCATCGACCGCCCCGAGCGATTAGATGCACTTACATTGTACATGTGACAACTGCACCTGAAAAGTACGGTTTGCAAGAGATTTTTTATATTTTTTTTTCTAGATTATTTATTTACTAGACAATTGTTTATTTTAACAATAATGACATCAGAATATGGCGGAAAGAAAGACCTCTTTATACTGTGATTGCTTTATTGGTCGGCGGTGGTCGCTGTTTGTTATATATATATATATATATATATATATATATATATATATATAAATTGTATTATTGAATATTCTATTAGATTCTTCAAAATGTCTAATTTTTTTATTCTAAACAATACTGTTTAGATGTTTTTATATTTGCCAAGTGTTCATATCTTTGTGTAGCCGCGTCGTAATAGTGTCTTTGCACACGGACACATAAGCACCAGCTCAAATATTTATCGTATGACTTACATATAATTTAATTAACGTTGTATATGTATTTATACTATGTTAGTTCTGTCCGTGTGTCGAGACGTGGACACAGCTCTTGATCTCTATACAGGTGCGCCGCTCGTCTTCCTCTCACCGCAGCGCCCTCTCGAGGCCAGTACATACCAAACGTCGGAATTCGTACCTAACAAATATAGTTTTTTGTTTAGTTATATCAAAAATTCCGCGCGAAGATTTTTCCGTCTGGTATGTACCGACCCGTATGCTGTCTTTTTAAGGGACCACAGATAAAAAAAGTCATAGGAAGTACTAGGAATTTTATTGTCATGTTTTGTACCGCAAGATGTATTTTTTTTTTCTATTTTTAAAGTGTTTAAATGTTATTTTTAAGTTTTATTATTATTAAGTTTCGAGTAGGTATATATTTTTGCATCTGTTTTGACTAATCCAATTTGATAATTTGTCTGTGGTTTCCATAGACGATACAAGCGAGGGTGAACTCTATGCGGTGGTAACACGTACCTTTTACAAACCCGTGCTCACTTTTCAGTAGTTTCAAATGTAAACGTTCGTATCGGCGGGTGTATTTGTTTTACGCATGAATTTATTATGCTCAATTGTTCTGTACGAACCGGTGCTAGTGCACCGAGCCGGTACACTTAGTTTGTTCTTGTATTGAATTTAAATTTATTGCAACTTTAGCGAAATTACCTTGCATTGGTATGTACTGATACTGTTAGTGTAATGTATGTAGGTATATCTAAATATATGTAATTCACTTTATCCTCTAGGTATAACGATGGTACTCATAGTGTAACCAAAAATAAAATGCTCGCTGTTCGCGAAGGCTGTGCGATCCGCATCGGACTGTGTCGGGGATTGTAAAATAAACATTCGATTATTATCCAAATTATACGCTTGTTTCATTTACTACTCTCTGGTAGTTATTTATAGCCTTTATTTATTAATATTTTTTATTATACAATTTAGAATGGCAAACAAGCTAACGGTCCACCTAATGGAAAGTGGTAACCGTCGCCTATAGACATGAGCAGTACCATGGACATAACAGAGTATACTGTTTCGCCCATGATATCCCCCATGCGTTGCCATTCCTGAGGACTCAGATGTTATTCCTCCGTACCCTGTAAATTCACGCCATATCTTACCCTTCAAACCGAAACACAGCCATGCAAACACAACTGCTTCACGGTAGAAACACGAATGGAACAGAAGTACCCAAGCAATCGACTTTTGTACAAAGTCTCCCTCTGGTGTAATATGACGGAGAGAGATAAAGCACACCTTGATCGAATCACTTGGAATTGTAGACAAAACATTTATATAGTTTTTATAAAAAACTAGGTAAGTAGGTAAGGTAGAAATGGCAACACAGAGTCGTTATGTTACCCACATATATCACACATTTATATATCAAATACAATTGAAATTAAATAATGGGCTCGACTCTGTGTTGCCATTTATCTAAAACTATCTTTTACGAAATTCCTGTTTTGTCATCATCATCATCATCATATCATCTTTCTACTGTTCACTACTGAACACTGCTCTCCCCCTTGAGGCTGTTGCCAGTAGTTGCTACACTTGGCAGGCGAATTAGCAACCGCGATTAGGATTTGGAGACGTTTGCCCTGCTGCTGCTGCCCTATGGGTGGCCTATTCCATGCTGGGACCACACGGCAAACTACTCTATTATGCACTATCCTAGATTAAATTTATATTTTTTTTATACTACATAGAATGGCAAACACGCTGACGGCCCACCTGATGGAAAGTGGTAACTATTGTTTATAGACACGTATAAAAAATAGTAATTTATAGAGATATATAGTAATTTAAATATTTATCTCTTTTAACGTATTTATTAGAAATATAAACAATCACAAATGAAGATAAATAGAAATTATAACAAATGTACGTCATTTTATGCTATTTTTGCTACTTCAATTCCATATCAGGGGGGTAAAGAGGTTTCTTCAGGGTCGGCAGCGCGCGCGTAATATCTCTGGTATTGCAGGCGTTCATAGCTTCCGCTTACCATCGGGTGGGCCGTATGCTTGTTTGCCACCTCAGTGGTATAAAAAAAAAATATCAATTCTGATCTGATTACCAAATACACGCACTATAGTGCAACCATTTGCGCGTCTCGTTTGTGATTGCATTGCCAATATGTCAGAACGTAACACGTAATAGTACGTCAATGATGATGCCATAAAATACTACTATAACCCCTATTGTACCCTGAATCGATGTCTCATAAAGTTTTATCAATTGTCTACTTTCAGAAAGGAGAATTAATGGGTATAAATTACAGAGTCGTTCAAAAATTTTTAATTTAGGTTCAGATAAAATTGCATTGATATATTAAAAAAATATTCGATTCAATAGTTTTTACATGTTTATTATACTGTAGTAGGGAAGAACAGTCATTTTTATACTTAGGCAGTTTACACTATCAAACTATCAAAAGCGCCTGCATACGTAATTGTGTTCCTAATATGCATAAAGTATTGATTTACAAATCCGATTATTTTTCATAGTGTAGGTAATACGCTACAAGGTGTACATAAAAATAAAATACAATATAAAAACAAACAAGTAAGCAACACTTTATTATCTAACCGTCCTCACTGTGCTCAGTTGTTACTATGTACCACTAAGCACTAAAGTGCACACATAAATAATGACATAATAGACGTGTGTGTGTGTGTGTGTATATACAATGAATACTGCTGACCCGCTGCACACGCGGGCTGGGGTCTGGGCCTCGCCGCGCCCTCCGCTAACGCTCTGCGGGGAAAATATCACTTTATGAGCATTCATCGATCATCTGTAATTTTAAACTTTACAATTACTTGAGAAATATTAAGTTGACAATGCGTTAAAAAAAAGGAAATTATAAAGAGATTATTGTGGTCTAGGTATTTCTATTTCATTAGTGTTACGGATGTCAAGCAGCCGTGGTTGCAATAAATTGTAGTGGTACTGAACTGGGTACGGAGGTACTTTTTTTTATACAACTTAGAATGGCAAACAAGCTGATCACACAACAGAGTATACTGTTTCGCCCATGACACCCCCCATGCGTTGCCATTCCTGAGAACTCAAGTGTTATTCCTCTATACCCTGTAAATTCACGCCATATCTTACCCTTCAAACCGAAACACAACTGCTTCACACAACACAACACAAATGCACCAAGAATGGGATAGAGTAATTAGTACTGTAATCAATGCTAGATTTATATTGTTTTAAGGCGCCGCTGTAACCACCCTCTAGGAAGGAAGAGGAGAGTAATTCACTTATATTTATTAATTTGGCTGTTTATTAGAGTGTCGGTAGGCGAGGTAGGTATTGTAAAGTGATTGAATGAATAGTGAATAAATGATAAAAGCGTAAAATGTCATCTATATTGCTGTTCATGTCTATAGGCGATGGTGACCAAGTTTATTTTTTATGTAACTTAAAATGGCAAACAAGCTGACGGCTCAGATGAGCCGTCAGCTTGTTTCATCTATCAGATGATAGATGAATGATAAAGCGGTAACCATTGCCTAAGTATAACAAACACAGTATATACTGTGTCATCCATGATATCCTCATGCGTTGCCAATTAAGGTGTTATGCCTCTGTAGCCTGCTATTTGTATGTGTGAATGTATAGCGGTGCGGTGTGTGTGTGGCGGCGGGTGTGGGCAGCGTACTGACACGCGTGGTGCGCGGCGGCGCGGTGCGCGCGCAGCAGCAGGCGGTCGAGGTCGGCGCGCGACGCGCAGTGCACGAACTCGCGCGGCCGCACGCCGCGCAGCACGCCCGCCAGCGACGGCTTCACGTTGTAGAAGATGATCGTCTGCCCGCGCACGTGGAAGTCCTCGATCAGCGACTTGATGCCCTGCCCGACAATGCTTTTGCTGATACCACCATCCGACAGATTGGTAAACAAAACATACACAGTATTGAAGCTCTAGACTAGAAGGTAGACACATGAGAGTGGAAGCTTAAAGAAGTAGTTAAACTGTTATGTCTTCCTTTCCAATATACTTTTGTTTTTTAGTAAGTACTCAAATATAACCTATGATTTCATTCGTATAACCGGGATATATTCATTGATCGATTGGGTTAAAAGAAGCTTTATAACCTTTCAATTCCATATGGTATATGTATATCTAATTTCAAAGATATTGGTTAAACTGTCAGAACGCTATAAGGTAACAAACATACTCACTTTCATATTTATTATTTAGTAAAGATTATATAATTTTCGCAATAAACTTAATATAAATATGATTTTTCATAAAGCAGTGGCGTAACTATACAATTTGGGGCCTGTGACAAATTTTTTTGATGAGGCCCTATCAGTAAAAAAAACATTTCTGAGCTCGCGGCCTCTTGAGACGGGACCCTTTTGGGTCGGGGGCCCGTGGCATTTTGCCAGCCCTGCCACTCTATTGTTACGTCACTGTCATAAAGCTAAGTAAATAGAAGCTTATAATTCAAAACTTGTTATTATTTATATACTACTTAGATAATAGATAAACATAATTATTAGTAGTTTTTATACAACTTAGAATGGCAAACAAGCTGACGGCCCACCTGATGGTAAGTGGCAACCGTCGCCTATAAACATGAGCAGTACCATGGACATAACAGAGTATACTGTTACGCCCATGATATCCCCCACGCGTTACCATTCTTGAGGTATACAAGCAAACGACTTATGTACAGTTTTCTCCTGGTAATATTTGTAACTTTATCAAATTTCACGCTACGCTGACATACACAAACCGACAGAGTATGTCGGCTTAAAACCTCGTGACCTGAAGGTGGTTGCCTCCGGAGACAAGCTTGATTGATTGAAAAAGATAGAGCGTCAAGTGTGAAGTAGAAGAGTCCCCCGCGCTGGCGGCAGCGGTGCGCCGGTACCTTGGCGGCGGTGAAGTCGGCGGCCTGCACGTGCGTGGCGTCCAGCACGAGCGGCGCGGCGGCGGGCGCGCTGGCGGCCGCCTTGCGCAGCGCGCGCCGCACGAACTCCGCCGACGGGAACGACAGCGAGCGGTCCACCGTCGCCACCACGTGCGAGATGCCGTCCCGCGACTGCAACCGCGCACACGCACCAATCCGCTTAGTAACTAACCTCTAGTATGCGGCTGCCGATTTCCGTCATCGATCGGTAACTGTACACTGCTACACATAGCCTCCCCCTATGAAGGGAAGGGAGGGGGGTTGCCAGTAGTTTCCACACTTTACAATTGGCAACCGCAGTTTGATTTTTGGTGATATTTTAAGAGGGGACGCTACTGTCTACCCCTCCACTAAATATGCTTTCTTAGTCGCCTCTTACGACACCTACGGGAAAGGAAGGAGTGGCCTATTCTATATACGGCTATACAACCCTCTCGGCATAATACCTATATGGCTTTAAAACTGTAGTTTGACTAAGTGCAAATATAGCATTAGCCTTTAAGCTTTATTGTCGCTATAATCTTGAATCTCGTTACAGACTCTACAGATCTTAGTCCTCCCCTGATCAGGAGTGGTATTCCTACACCAATACAACATGGAGACGACGTTTGGTATTAACCAAGTCGTATCCAGTTAAGTCGATTTTCACGCGATGCCCTCTTAATACTTTCTTGATTAACCATAAAATAATTCCTGGTAAATTTACCACGACAATCTTGTTTTTTTTTTTTAATTGATGATAGTGGAATGGTAACCCTGCCTGCGCTAACGGTATTCGATGGCGGGGCACCAATGTGAAATGATAAGTAAAAATAATAAGGCAGGTCAAGTAGTCTATCGTGATGAATATACTCAGAATTCAACATGATAATTTCCAGGGGGAACCACGTGTAGATCGACCTGACCCTATATATGGGTATAGTCTCATTGCTAGCAATGGGACTGGTAGTCTATATTACTAACAATCCCTTCCCCCCAGCAATTTCTATATTGCTAACATTAATATATATTATATTTTTATGGATGATAATGAAATAGTAACCCCACCCGCGCTATCGGTATACACCGGCGGGGCACCAGAGAAGGATGATAAGTGAGGATGAAGCAGGTCAGTTAGCCCATCGTGACGAATTCAACAAGATGGTTCACGATGGTTTCCAGGGGGAACCACGTGGAGGTTGACCTGATAGGGCATATTGCTAGCAATGGGGCTGTCAAACTCCATTGTTAACAATCCCTTTCTCCTACATTGATATATTGCTAATAATGAAAGCAGGTCGAACTCCTATCTTTCTGGAAACTATCGTTTAATTCCATGTGTATTTATCACGATGAGTCACCTAACCTGCCTTTTCATCTTCACTGGTGCTTCGCCAGTGCCAGCCAGATAGCGGAGACAGGCTTACCATTCCATTATCACCTATAAAACAGGGTTACAACTCAATTTTATTCCATGAAAATCGAATGTAAGATAAGATACGTACAATGGCATGCGTGACCTTGACGGCGGGCCTCGCGGAGGCGTACAGCAGGAACACCAGGTTGACCGCGATGCCGATGACGATGCCCAGCTCGAGCCGCGTCACGAGGCACGCGCCGAACGTCACCACCGCTGGGATTATGTCCAGTTCTGGGAATAGCCACAATATCAGCTTATTATACATTTGCTTTATCAATGCAGGTGGCTTATGGCCGTACCTTGTGGCAGTAGGTAGGGGGTAGGCCTATGTTTATTAATGAATAATTAATGGCCAAAATAATGATGACCATAAAGGTCTATTCTCCATATTGGTTAACCTTTCTTTGCATACTGGTAGAAATTTCCATCATAACATTGAATGCCTAATACTTGTGTTGTGGATGATTGCGTGTGATGATTGTGTCTGGATAATTTTTTAATGTCCATTGTAGAAAAACAAACATAGCTGTCAAATTTATTGTTTTAACCATTTTTCCTTTTATTTTAAAAATGAATTATGTCACTTTCATTATATGATTTTGAATTCACCAATAAAAAAAATCATGCAAAGAAGGGTTGTAACAGTGGAAAGATGATGGGTGTGTACAGATAGAAATAGACGTTTATATGAATAAAGAGTTATTGTACCCTAATTATTTTTGATGTTCTCTTCCGGTCTTTACAAGTATAGGGAAGGAGGAGGAGGGGGGGGGGGGAGGAGAAGTGTTAATAAAATAAAATTTATATACAATTCTGGTCTTACTTTTTGTCCTCCAAATGGGCTTGAATACGTGCAGTTCCATCATGAATACGACGGCGGCGATGATGACGGCCGCCAGCGACGCCTTGGGGATGTAGAAGAAGTATGGCGTGAAGTACTGGAATGCATGAAACAAATAGATATTATCTCGGTACATTGTTATAAATTATAATAAAAAATTAAGTAGGCTATGGAGTGAAATTATCTGGTATGGAGGCATAACGTTTTAGTTTTTTGGTGGTGCTGTGGGCATCATATGTGCATCATCTGCTATAGTGCAGGTCTTTTTTTCTATACAACTTAGAATGGCAAACAAGTTGACGGCCCACCTGATGAACAGTACCATGGACATAACAGTATACTCTGCCATCCCTTCTTTTCCTGTGAGTGTGGTAAGAACCGACTAAGGAAGGACGAGGGCAACAGCGTCCTTCTTAAAACATCTCGAAAGCCTAACTACGGTTGCCAATCCGCCTGCCAAGCGTGGCAACTACTTGCAAAACCCCCCAAGGGGAAGCTTATGTTTAGCAGTGGACAGAAAAAGGCTGATATGATGATGATTGCGGAGAATGGCTGGTTGTCTGACCTGCAGGGAGGGAGGGGGGAAAAGGATTGTAAGTAATGGAGCCAAATAGCTTCATTACTAGCAATATGCCTTGTCAAGTCGACCTCCACGTGGTTTCCCCTGGAAACTATCGTGGTTAATTCTAGTTGAATTCGTCACGATGGGCTACCTGACCTGCTTTCATTCTCATCAGTCATCTATCACTGGTACCACGCCAGTGTATACCGATAGCACAGGTGGGGTTACCATACTAATATTAGCCATTAAAAAAAGACCTGCAGCGAGAGCAGCACGAGGGCGCCGGTGTAGAGGCCGCCGGCGGTGGAGGCGACGCCGGACGCGTGGTTGACGGCGCCGCGGGACAGCGCGCCCGACACCGGCATCGAGTCCACCAGCGACGACGCGATGTTGCACACGCCCAGCGCCAGCATCTCCTGCGTCGCGTCTATGTACTTGCCTTCCGCTGCAAACACAATGTTGTTTGTTAAATTCGAAAATAAAAAAAAAACGACTAAATGTACAGACTTTCATTTCAAAGAAATTAGCTTAGAATCCCTCAGAAATTTGCTTTCCTTCTCGTATCCCATTAGCCCCTGACAATAATCTGTTTATAGCTTATTTATTGTGAGCCATCCTGATGATTTTAAACATGTCTGTAAGTTTGTGAGGATCCTGCTATCTGTAGATTTTAGATGATATTACAGCGTCTGATCGAGGTCAACACTGAAAAAAGTTTCAATTCGACAGCACAATCCCCATTTTAAAAGAAGTTTGAATTTGACACAAAAATCCCCATTAACAAAATGATCCGCCATTTATTGATTTCATTTGTTACAAAAAATGTGATAAATGAAGAACCGCTCGAGCGATTTTGTGCAAACTTCACATAAATAACAACAACAACTAAATAGTCCGAACAAAGCCTAAACATTTGGTTTGGGTAGGTGAGCCCGTTTTTGAGTTATAAAATTACAACGAAAAGTGGCATTAATTTTTTTATATATAGATAAATAAATAATTGCTATGTATTCTTTCAGAATAGGAATACTAACAGAATACTTTAGCGAGCGCGATGTTCTCCAGTATGGACAGTAGTGGCACGACGAAGATAGCGGATCCGAGTGTGGAGGTCATCTCGACGAACGTGTACGTGTGGTTGCCCACGGTCGCCGAGAACGGCGGCGGCTTCAGTTCCGGCAGGCCCGGCTTCACATCACCTGGACAATATATTTTATTTACAACGAAAGCAATCTGGCATATGAAGAAGCTGATGGTAAGAAGCGCATCAGCCTGTAAAATCTTGCATCGTTTGCAACACCAGAAGTCACTAGCGTAATCGTGATCTCAGTCAAATATTTCTAAAGCATATGTCACTCTTCAAATCAGAAAACAATATGCAATTATATGCATAGGTATAAGTAACTCAAGTATGCAGTGTTTTGCTGTGCATTAAAAGAGTCTTAAACAACAGTACAGAAGTTCGACCTCGTCCTTTCGAGTTATATCCTAAATGTATTCTGTGATGACAGAGGTGCCTAGCAAACAACGTTTGTACAAAGTCTACCTCTGGTAAAAAAAGTATATGTTTTTACATAAACACTAGATAGAAATATGATAAATGAGATGATTCAAATAAAAAAACCATGATTAATATATGATAATATTAATTTATCGTATCAAATATATGTTGATGAATAAAAAAAGATATGTACCGGTGAGTACGAAAGGTGACTTCTTCTGCGTGTCGAAGTAGTAGGCGAGTGCAGCGCACACCAGCACCACCAGAATGTTGCGTGTGGTGGACAGGAACCAGAGAGCTTGGGCGGCCGCGTTACGCAATTTTGCCGATTTGCCATCATCACCTTCCTTGGGGCTCACTTTGATATCTTTCACTTTCTGCAATATACGATAAAAATGCTCATTAAATAGATAAGAAATAGGTAGAAAATTATGACTTTGATCTAACTCATACAAGTAGGGGGGGGGGAGGGATTATTAATAAGACGGACTACCAGTCTCATTGCTAGCAATATACCCTGTCAGCTCGACCTCCACGTGCCCCCCCTTGAAACCATCGTGCTGAACTCTATGTGTATTCATCACGATGTGCTAACAGACCTGCCTTTTCATTCTCACTTATCATCACCCACTGCTGTCTCACCAGCGTTTACCGTCAGCGCAGGGCGAGGCGTTTCATTCCATTATCATTCATTATAAAAAAAAAAAAACTCATAGAAGTAAATCAGGCTTTTGCCATTGACGTCTTTTTGCCCCCCTCTTATCACGATATGATTTCCTCATCTTGATATTCGTTATCGTTTTCGTCTTGCAACTTATATCATTGCTCAGCGAGTTTATGCAAGGGTCAATGCAGTTACTGCATAACTGAACATATCAGTAGAATGTCAACACGGGTGTTCTTAGTACGATATATTTTAATCGAGCGATAAGCAATTAAAAGTGATGAAAGAATTAAACATTTTTACTTCATTTATCTTTTGTTTAAAAAATCATTTAATATATTGGAATATTTAATAAATCATTATGTAGCAACAGTAATCCGACACTCCGACAGTCCGACAATCTGGAAAAACTAATGGTTGTAGGCAAAATAGAGGGAAAAAGACCACGCGGACGTACGCCTAGTCGATGGTCGGACCAAGTAACCGCCGTTACGGGACTGTCTATTGCAGCTGCCCCGCGAGAGGCTGAAGACCGTGCGAAATGGAATAACATCATAAGAGAGGCAACAGACACCTTTCAAGGACACGACCTTCAGTAATGAAGAGGACGAAGAGAGAGATAGCAACAGTAATAATATTAACTATAGACATCGCCATCATATCAGCCTTTAACTGTCCACTGCTGGACATAAGCTTCCCCTTTAGGTGTTTTGCCAGTAGTTGCCACGCTTGGCAGGCGGATTAGCAACCACAGTTAGCCTTTGGAGATGTTTTAAGAGGGACGCTGCTGCCCAACACTCGCTTTCCCTTAGTCGATTCTTAAGACACCCACGGGAAAGGAAGGGGTGGCCTATTCTATGCCGGGACCTTACCGTTACTCGATTGGTAGTGAACGCGAAATTCAATAACAAAAATGATTTCTTCTTGTTTTCTTTAAATATTTATAATATTCAAGATACGTAACGAATGTGACAGTTTTTGAAAATGTTTGTACGTATGTAAATGAACACAAAAATAAACCACGTACACTAAAGTTTGTTTTATTCACGTGTACGTGAATGTACATATTTTTAATCTAGTAATTAGTTTCTCAGAATTCAAATACCTAAATAACATTAAATTGTGATGGAAAAATAACAATTGAAATTTACTAAAATAATTATGTGCCAGAGGGAGACTTTGTACAAAAATCGATTGCTTGTCCCATTCATGTTTCAACCGTGAAGCAGTTGTGTTTGCATGGCTGTTTTTCGGTTCGAAGGGTGGGATATGGCGTGGTGAATTTACTGGGTACAGAGGAATAACACCTGAGTCCTCAGGAATGGCAACGCATGGGGGGTATAATGGGCGAAACAGTATACTCTGTTATGTCCATGGTACTGCTCATGTCTATAGGCGACGGTTACCACTTTCCATCAGGTGGGCCGTCAGCTTGTTTGCCATTCTAAGTTGCATAAAAAAAATGTGCACTTTACAGCTATTATAAAATAAAAAAAATGTATAGGTCCAGTTCTAAGTTAGTTGTTTAATACGATAATTTACTATTAAGTAAAGAGATAGCTGCATTACGTTACCTTGTCACCGGTAATATAACTTATAGATTAAACAGGTTTTTACTGATTATTTTGTACCTTTTTAAATCAATGAACTTGAATAGATTCATCAATAACATCGATAATGTCCTGGTTGTTCTAATCTCAGTACAAGGTTGCGGTATTTGCATTGTCGCCGGCACCACATACACCTTACAAAGCAAAAGGACAATCGAATGTGGGTCAAAGGCGGATTTAACCGGTTTGTGCCGGATTGACATGACATGTGTCAGTAGACCAGGTACAAATTTGTTTGCAAGGCAATTAAAAAGTAAATATCACATCAAAACAACTGTCGCTACTGTTTTGTTGTTAAATAAAGTTTTATATAATAATAATCTATACTTGTAATAAATCTGTAGAGAGGTCAATTCTGTACATGAAATATATTTCTAAAATAACTATCAGGCGGTGATTAGTGATCGATACTGATGCCAAAAATGCAATCAGTAAAATTTTTGTCTGTCTCTCTGTGTGTTTAATCGAGTAGTTTTTGCGTCTATAAAGACGCAAAAACTACTCGGCGGATTTTAACGAAACTTGGTACAATTATTCTTCATACTCCTGGGCAGGTTGTAGTATACTTTTCATCACGCTACGATCAATAGGAGCAGAGCAGTGAAGGGAAATGTTGGGAAAACGGGAGAAGTTACTCCATTTTTAAGCTTCCGTCGCGTGTGCAGTCTTAATGGCCACTTTTTAAAATGTTAAAACGTCCACCCATTCGACGCCGGGTCGGGCCGCTAGAAGTAAATAAATTCTTTATCAAGGTAATCAGGACCTGCACAATTTTTATACAATATCAATTTATATGATCCATATGACTTGGCTTTACTTGATATGAAGTCTTCTTTTAAAATGTTAAGGGATTTTCTATACTAATTTCATAGCTGGATACGTTATGGTATATGTAGTAAGTATAAGTTTTCATTGTTATGTCCTTTTTTGACTCATCATCATCGTGATGTCAGCAATTATCTGTCCACTGCTGGCCATAGGCCTTCCTCATAGACTGCCATATGGAACGGTCTAGAGTCACTTGCATCTACTAACTCCATGTATTGCATTTGAGGTCGTCGCTCTATCTAGCGGAAGGCTGTCGTTTATTGCGTTTGCCTGTATTAGGTCGCCACTTAAGAATCTTTCTACCTTTAACTTTTTAATTTATAGTTGTGCCTTTTTCAGTTTCCCTGGTAGATGGCGCTTCAATGTATTTATTTTACTCTTTTCTTGCAACGTCAAAGTTTTTTTTTATTAAAAACTGTATGTATCTACGACGAAAATGAAGCCCATTTTTTAATTATTAGATATTCTTTATTCTTGACATAATGTACAAGGGCGAGCTTATTTCTAACTAGAGATTTCTTCCAGCAAATCTTTTCATGTGGATTTAATGTTATTTAAAAATAAAAAAAGGCAGTCGTACGATCTGTGTACATTGTATGAACATATTCGTAAGATATGTATACACAAAGAATAATACAAACTACACATTATAAATTACACAAATTACATAAACCTTGTAAATATATAAATATTGAAATAAATATATTATTATAGATATATCATTAGACGTAATCTACTACATTTAAACATTTTATTTTTAGCTTATATTGGTTCTTTATGGAAAAAAAATATGAGCTACTTATAAAAATGTAAATAACTGTAAATAGTACACTTGTAAAAATTTACTAAACTCCACTATAATATTTTTTTTTATGCAACATAGAATGGCAAACAAGCTGACGACCCACCTGATGGAAAGTGGTAACCGTCGCCTATAGACATGAGCAGTACCATGGACATAACAGAGTATACTGTTTCACCCATGATACCCCGCATGCGTTGCCATTCCTGAGGACTCAGTTGTTATTCCTCTGTACCCAGTAGATTCACGCCATATCCCACCCTTCAAACCGAAACACAGCCATGCAAACACAACTGCTTCACGGTTGAAACACGAATGGGACAGAGGTACCCAAGCAATCGACTTTTGTACAAAGTCTCCCTCTGGTCTGTCTGTCTTTAAAGAGTTTAACGAACTGTATTATATGGTATATTTGTAAAATATAATTCGCAGTACAGCTAGCCGCTCATCGTTTTACATAATAAAAGGAAATAATATAATAGATGTTGTGAAGCGATGTTGTGACACACGTCAATGTGTATGTTGACAGCCTTTATTGTGTTGGTGCACAAACATTTACACAAACGTCCTCTTCATGACGACTGCAGCCCGTCCACACAATGGCCACGTCACTCATTAACGATTCGTGAAAAGACGAATTCAAACGATACAAGAAACGATCAATAAAGTGAAAAGGGGAAAAGGGATTGTTAGTAATGGAGACTGAGAATCCCATTGCTAGCAATATACCTAACCAGGTCGACCTCCTCGCGGTTCCCTCTGGAAACTATCATGGTTAATTTCTGATGTATTCATCATGATGGGCTAACTGGCCTGTTTTCATTCTCATCGATCACCCTTCACTGGTGCTCCGTCAGCGTATCCCGTTAGCGCAGGCGGGGTTACTATACCATTTTCACCCATCAAAAAAAAGTACAAAAAAATACAATCGTAAATTTACAAAATTCATAGGTTTAGTCATTCGATTCGAGTCAAAGGATTCTATTGGGAAATCCCCAGACAATTAATGAAAAGAGCTACAGTTTTTTTCTGATATTAAGAGGCTAGTTTTATTTATTATTATTTTTTAATATATAACTTGAGTGACACAAGAAGACAGGCCATCTGATGAGAAGTGGTAACGTAAAGTTCATGGTACACTTCGTGCGTTGTCATTCCTGAAGACTATTATTAATTGTTTACAGTATAAATAGCGACAGAGGCAAATTTGGAAATACGGAGACAACTGTTGTAGGTCACCATTGAAACTACCTTGCTTATAGGACAACCTGCAAAGCATTGTTCAGATGTATGATGCTTTAATTATTTATTAATGCTTTGTGGTCCCGGCATAGAATGGGCCAAATTTTCCTTTTCCTTGGGTGTCGTAAGAGGCGATTAAGAGCTATTTTATGTTCAAGGGATGGGCAGCAATGTCCCTCTTAAAATATCACCAAAGCGTAATTACCAAGAGTGGCAACTATTGTTAAAACTCGCCAATTGGAGGCCTATGTTAAGCAGTGGGCAAATAACGGCTGACATAATGGTGATATTTTAATTGTTGGCTGGATGCAGTATGATGCACTAAGCTTTAAATGCACGTTTCATTTATGCTTGAAATATAACAATTACAGTGAACACAAGCCAATTATGTGTACAATAAGGTTTATTCTCACGAGATAAACTGAACATCTATACAGTCCCGTGTACCGACGGAAGTATCGCTCCGGCAAATACTGTTTTCATTTATTTGCAAAGTGTCATTTTCCGCTGCTGAAGTGATGACGTCAATTTACCACCAGTAAATTGATTATAGATGAATACAACACAGTGTTAGTACATGTTTTATCATTTACGATTCAATTACAGATGTACTTAGAACAAATTGGAAATGCTTCCGACTTGTGGTGCGTTTATTGAGTTATAAATGTTAACTTTACCCCTATTTGGTTGGGGGAGGGATTGTTAGTAATGAGGACTATAATACCCTATTGTTAGCAATATACCCTATCAGGTCGATCTCCACGTGGTCCCCTCTGGAAACAATCGTGCTGGATTCCAGGTGTATTCATCACAATGGGCTAACTGACTTGCCTTTTCATTCTCACCTATCAACCCTCACTGGTGCCCCATCAGCGTATAACATTAAAAAAAATCTCGTATGTAGGTCAGACGTCTCGACGAAGTTAAGAATATGTACAATATCAGCATTTTCGTGCTAATGAATTAAAATTAAATTTAAAAAAATTAAAGTAATTTTACCCACAATAAAAACAGTCGCTTAAATACTGATTAAATTAATATGGAACGGAGAAACAGAGTATAAATCCTATTGATTGAAAATTAAACTGAAAATCAGTTTATATTTTATAAAGCTAATATACCTAAGCACAAGGAATTACAAAGAAGGAATAATAAAAACTTTAAATCATATGGTTGCTATCTTTCTTCTTATGCTAATATAATTAGTAAAAAGAGGACGAAAGATATACCCTCAGTTGCTATTGTTGTCAATTCATAGCTGGCTCGTGTATAGAAAATGTTTGATATGTCAATTATTTGTTAATAACAAATGTTACATTACTAGATTATATATTGGACACAGTATATACGGAAAGTATGCAAGCAGGTTTTATCTGAACTTGGTAGGGTTATATGGCCGAATAACATTTTCTATACACTAGCCTGCTGTGAATTGACAATTTGATCACTCCTTCTACGTAATTCCTTCTTCTTAGTAATACACAAAAACAAAAATTCAAGTGAGAACCTCTTTCTTTCAGAAGTTGTTAAAATAGAATGGAGTGTTCTGTTTCGGTGAAGGATGCAAGCCGCAATCTCAAAAAAGATACACTTTACTACGTAAATCATAAGTTTTGTACACTGTAAGGCAGCGCAATTTTTGTTTAGTTTATTTTATTTGGGAAACGAACAGTGCATTTAATAGAAAAAATATTGTATAAATATTTTGTAATTAATATAGCGTTTTGGTCGACATACCCTGAGCAGGAGAAGCACCACGATGCAGGATATGCCGAGCACCGCGTCCCACAGCCGGGTCTCGCCGATGTGCTCGTACATGCCTGTCCACACCTGGGAACATTAGAATTTTGTTACAATAACAAAACTGAAAGAAGATATGTTTGAATTAATTATAATTATAAATATTAATAATATAATAAATATATAGGCCGTGTGGTCCCGGCATAGAATAGGCCACCCATTCTTTTCCCGTGCATGTCGTAAGAGGCGACTAAAGGAGGGTGAGGGATGGGCAGCGGCGTCCCTCTTAAAACATCTCTAAAGCCTAACTGCGGTTGCCAACCCGTCTGCCAAACGTGGCATCTACTGCCAAACGACTTATGTTCAGCAGTGGACAGTTTACATCTTATCAGCTGATAAGATGATATGATAAACCTGTGTAGCTTCAGCGACGGTCATCCTTAGAATACGACGTAATACATTGTTTCACATTTAGTAACCGAGTCGACGGTTGTGTTTCAGAAAAACTGAAGTACTCACTTTACCGATCGTAAGCAGTGGCCAACCGAAGGCCAATAGAAAGTGTGTCGATAAAAACAGTTGGGCTAAAAAAATGTTAAATTATGCCAACAAAAACGTAGCTTATTACTTGTCATAATTAGCTTCAATTCGGACAATGTAAGCGTTGTGCGAGCGGGTACAGCAGCGCTCAGTTCACCAAGCTCGTTGTCGTCCTATCTGGCTCAATGTTAACAGGTGTCCAAATAGTCTGGAGTGTCTGTATGCGTATCGCTTTATTTGTTTTAATTGACGTATTAATATCTTAATATACCATAAAAAAAGTGATGCTAATCTCAGAAACCGCTTAACCGATTTTTTTAAGCCTAATCTCTCAAGTGGAAGCACTTCCTTCCACTTGAGAGGTAGGACAGGTTTTATCCCGGTAAAATGTGAAAAAACTAAAATTCATAAGTGAGGATGAGTATATATATATATATATATATATATATATATATATATATATATATATATATATATATATATATATATATATATATATATATATATATATATATATATATATATATATTTGTCCAATATATAATATTGAAATTAAGCACCCGATTGTAACGACTGGAGATACCCAACTGGTATAGGCGATATCGAAATGGGTGATGACCTTTTTTCCGCTCTCAATTTACAGAGGAACCCAATATATAGATGTCTGGGATATAGATATTACCCATGCCTATCGGTAAGTGGTGGTAGGGGGAAAACAACGATCGCCAAATCAAAGCAGATCAAATCTTGAAGCAGTTGTGTTTGCATTTTCCAGGAGAGATACGACCGTACGACGAATACGACGAATTACAGGGTACAGAGGCATAACACTTTAGTTCTGAGGTATGGAAATGCATGAAAGGTAACATATCATGGCTGACAAGATATTTTATTTTTATTTTTTTATTTTATACGGCTTAGAATGGCAAATAAGCTGACGGCCCACCTGATGGAAAGTGGTAACCGTCGCCTATAGACATGAGCAGTACCATGGACATAACAGTACACACATGTAATGTTTCGCCCATGATACTCCCCATACGTTGCCATTCCTGAGGACACAGGTGTTATTCCTCCGTACCCAGTAAATTCACGCCATATCCCACCCTTCAAATCGAAACACAGCCATGCAAACACAACTGCTTTACGGTAGAAACACGAATGGGACAGAGGTACCTACTCAAGCAATCGACTTTTGTATAAAGTCTCCCTCTGGCGATACATTCTGTTATGTCCATGGCACTGTTCATGTCTATAGACTGTTACCACTTGCCATCAGGTGGGCCGTCAGTTTGTCTGCCATTTTAAGTTGCTTAAAAAAATACACCAATTAAAGTTTGATCCTCTAATATCAACTTAGACTAGGTGCGTCAGAATGGGAGACTAACATTTTTTTTATCGTTTTTTAAAAATATTCAGTGTCACTAACAAAATATTCCGTTATAGAATGCCAATGTGTAAGATCTCACCCTAAGCACACTACATTACGTGGCAGCCATTACTTAGAGCGGACAGTCTCTTCCTGTTGCTTATTAACCAACTGTGTCCTACAATTTAATAGATTGGCATCTAATTGAAGCCGCTGAGAACATCACTTCCTCAATATCACGCACACTAATGACTGCGACGAACGAAGTCATTTGAAAAAAAAAAATCTTAGCGTTATTTTTTACATGTCATCGTTTCCATATTATTTCAAAGGTACATGCAAGTGGTAGCAAAAAATATGAGTTTGACGTTTGAAGACAAAAAAAAACAATGAATGTAGAATGAAATGAATAAGAGTAAGGATTGTCATGATTATTTATTTGTTTTTTTTTTTATTTTATTGGCACATAAAACAGATCACAACCATAAAAAACTTAAATAATAGTTACATTTGTGATTCGGCTAGGTTATAATCCAATCACATTATGTGCATAGCTCGAGTAATTCATGTAAAGCAAACATATAAAATAAAGAAAATACTTAAAGTGTTATATAAATACATAAAAGATAAAACTATATAAAAAAAATGCTTAAGGATCGCTGTATGTGTCCTGGCATAGCATAGGCGACCCCTTCCTTTCTCGTGGGTGTCGTAAGAGGCGACTAAGGGAGCTTATGGTGGAAGGATAGGCAGCAGCGTTCCTCTTAAAAGATCACCAAAAGCCAAACTGCGGTTGCCAACCTACTTGAATTTACAGGGTACAGAGGAATAACATCTGAGTCCTCAGAAATGGCAACGCATGGGGGGTATCATGGGCGAAACAGTATACTCTGTTATGTCCATGGTACTGCTCATGTATAAGCTATAAGCGACGGTTACCACTTTCCATCAGGTGGGCCGTCAGCTTGTTTGCCATTCTAAGTTGTATAAAAAAAAAATCAAGCGTGGCAACTACTGGAAAAACCCTTCTTATGGGGGAGGTTATGTTCAACAGTGGACAGGTAACGGCTGATACAACATTCTTATGGTACAATCATATAGACGAGGCACGATTAACCAAGCAACGTCGGTGGAAAAGAGACACGTGTTTCTTAATGTAGGTAAATCAATTATTGATCAAATTTATAAATACCCATTTATATGTATCTAATTAGTGTCATCGGAGTTAATCGGATTCCGAAATATAATTGTTTTTGTTTTTTTTTTTATAACACAGGGGGCAAACGAGCATGCGGCTCACCTGATGGTAAGTGACTACCGCCGCCCATGATCACCCACAACACCAACGGCATTGCAGGTGTGCTGCCGGCCAACATACATATAGGTATATTCTGTACGCTTTAAAGGGGTGTATTGTGGATGAACTATCTAAGTTATGGGACCTTGTATAACATACGATATATCATGAACGATAAAAATATTAGTAAACTTGTATTTAAATCCATTATACCAATGACGTAATTTTGTATACTACCTAATTGTACATGCAAAACCTGGCTGATAGTGAAATGTGTAGTGCATTTGTATTTTCATCTTTGTCAACCATATTTATTGCAAATAAATATTGTTATAATATATTATTTTAATTAATTTTTTAGGTCAATAAAAGACAAGCATTGTCTACTGACGATCCTTTGGGAAGTACAGAGATGCTCGAAATCGTTTTCAAAAACATTTGTTACTTCTATAAACTTGCAATGTATTTCACATTTTCAGAAAGTATTTGAATTCATTCATGCCTTCCATTTTAATGCTAGGAAATAGAAATATAAGATTTTTATGCGAATGCAAACATTAGACATTTCTTTGTATTATTAAATAAATTTTTCTTTCGGTTTAATTAACTGACTTTTGCCGTACCTGAAGGAATTTGCCTCCTGGGAAGCTGAGCCCGAGGATGTCCTTGACTTGCGTGGTGGCGATGATGATCGCAGCCGCTGACGTGAACCCCACCGACACCGGCCCGCTGATGAAGTCGATCAGGAAACCTGAACAGCGACAGGCTACATAAGCAACGTATCCGAAAAATGTACAAAATCATAGGAAATATTGCTACTACTAGTGGGTTTGAACCATAGCAAATGCAAAAATATAGTCAACAACATAGTTTTTATGGGGGGGAAAGGGATTGTTAGTAATGGAGGCTGAGAATTCCATTGCTAGCAATATACCCAACCAGGTCGACCTTCTTGCGGTTCCCCCTGGAAACTATCATGGTTAATTCTTGATGAATTCATCATGATGGGCTAACTGGCCTGTTTTCATTCTTATCGATCACCCTTCACTGGTGCTCCGCCAGCGTATACCGTTAGCGCAGGCGGGTTTACCATACAATTTTCACCCATCAAAAAAAAAAACAGTTTTTATGTAGCGTGTTGATTTGTGACCTCTCACCTGATGGACAGTGGTTATCGTTTATGGACATGAACAGTACACTATTTTACTATTGTCATTTATTGCTGAATCCCATTCAAACCAAAATACAGCCATGCAAGCAAAGCCGCTTAGCGGTAGACTGTAAAAACATGTGCAGAACGGAGGTCAATCCAAACAGATGATTTTTGTGCAAAGTTAACCGCTGGTAGGTACATATATTTCCTGTAATATAGTTTAATAAGTTTATTTCAAAATAAATGTTACATTTTTAAATATAGGTGAAACTCTGCTCCCTAAATAGGTATATAACAATATATTATCAGTTTCGCTTTTTAAATATCGTTAAAAAACATAATTAATTCGAGTACAAAATCTATATATTTGGCAGATAAATTATAACTGATGCATTACAATTATAATACATATATATATATATATATATATAATTATTCTATACATCTTCATTATACCTTGTTGTATCATTTATGTTATACAATAAATAATATATTATTATATTCATATATAATATTGATATCTTCTATAAGGTCCACTTAATAATGTTTTATAGACTAGCGGCCCGTCCCGGCCTCGCACGGGTGGACATTTTTACATTTTAAAAAGTGGCCATTAAGGCTGCACACGCGATGGAAGCTTAAAAATGGAGTAACTTCTTCCGTTTTCCCAGCATTTCCCTTCACTGCTCTGCTCCTATTGATCGTAGCGTGACAAAAAGTATACTACAACCTGTCCAGGAGTATGAAGAATAATTGTACCAAGTTTCGTTAAAATCCGCCGAGTAGTTTTTGTTTCTATAACGAAAGTACAGATAAACAGACAGAAATTTCACTGATTGCATTTTTGGCATCAATATCGATCACTAATCACCCGCTGATAGTTATTCTGGAAATATATTTCATGTACAGAATTGATCTCTCTACAGATTTATTATAACTCTTTCTCGAGTGCTACCTATTGAGTGGTGGCCCCACTAAAAATCAGCGCTGTAGCACTACGCTGCAGCTTAAGTTGTGTGGGGACCATTTCAGCTGCTACCACAGAATTATTAGTTTAACGTATAGTTTTTATTAATATTGTTAGGTTTAGTAGGTGAAAAAAGAAAGATCTACTTATTGGAAACATTTTCCAATCAACATGTATTTACACTTATTTTTGTGCACACAATGCCCTCGCTCAGTACAATGGTGCATCGCACAATACTCGTCTTTTCTCATATTACAAGTCCGACGACGTGTCTGAAAACACGACTCTTGTTCGTTACCTGTTCCTTCAACAATGATACATCACTCTTTGTATTTACATGACCTAACGCTTTTGGAATGTAGACTTGTCATTGCTTCGCAGTTAGATAAATAAAAAGAGCGCCGTTTGATTATTTAGAGTTCTGCGAAACAGATCGTGTGGGCGAAGAATTTGGTAAGTAATCATATCTCTTTGGAGAATTGATTCGTGGGAATATTCATGTGTTTGCTTACTAACACTACCTTATAGGGGGAAAGGGATTGTTAGTAATGGAGACTAAGAATCCCATTGCTAGCAATATACCCAACCAGGTCGACCTCGTCGCGGTTCCTCCCGGAAACTATCATGATTAATTCCAGATGATGGGCTAACTGGCCTGTTTTCATTCTCATCTATCACCCTTCACTGGTGCTCCGTCAGCATATTCCGTTAGCGCAGGCTAACTATTCCATTTTCATCCAATAAAAAAAAACATTACCTTATATTAAATACTAACATATGAAAAGTGAGATGTAATATATGGGACATATGGTGTGTCGTTTTTGAAGTATGACGAGAGTATTCGTCATCATCATATCAGCTGTCAACTGCCCATAGCTGAACATAGGCCTCGCGCTTGGGCTGTTTTGCCAGTAGTTGCCAGGCTTAGGAGACGGGTTGGTTACCACAGTTAGGCTTTGGTCATGTTTTAAAAAGGACGCTGCTGCCCATCCCTGATTAAGCTCCCTTAGTCGCGGAAAGGAAGAGATGGCCCAATCTACACCGGGGTCACAGTTATTGTGCCTCAAAAATGGAGAGCGAGAAATATAGTTATAAAATATTTGGCTATTAATATTATAGAATCTGTTACGTACCCAGTTGGAGGATGCCCATAACAAGCTCGACGCAGCCGGAGAGGAACGCGAGCAGCACCGCGAACTCGGGGCCCAATCCGTGAAGGTTTTCCCTCGTGAGAATGGCCGCGATGGCTGTGGGGCCTATCGCGGAGTCCTTACAGAAACCCAGGCAAAGTATGCTGTCAGTACAGTTTAATATTTGACTAAAACACGCTGATGTTTCACACCTTGCATGATTGTTAATAGACATGTATAATATTTGGTTATCATGCTTGTCGAATTGAAAAAAAGTATGGAACTACTAGCTGATCCCGTAAACATTGTTTTGTCCGTTATCACCTCATCTATCAGGTGCATTTTTAGGACATTTCTTATCGGGTTTAAATTACCCTATCTGTCAAGTTTGAGAAAACAATACAAAAATTTATTAAGTTCGGTTGAGCCGTATTGAAGATTAGCTTTAACGAATATCCTGACAGGATTTTTCAGAAGATGACATCACGATGAAGAGTATCTTACATATGGAACTTATTTGCAAAAAATCAAGTCTCTAAAGCTAGTAATGTCTGCTGTGCATTGATAGACTCTGGACATTTATCAGATAGATGTGATTATTATATTAGATTAAAACTAGGGATATTATATTATCGTTGTTTCTAGTGAAAGTGTTCTAAATTACTCACTTTCACTGAACCGAAGACTGTGTAAACAAAACAGGCCATGAAAGACGAGTAGAGTCCATACTGCGGGGGCAGCCCCGCCACTCCCGCGTACGCGATGGCCTGAGGGATCACCGTCAGACCTACTGTTATACCTGCAAAAGAATGATATATAAATATAGGAAGAATTTAATATAATAATATAGTTTTTACTAGAAAAGTCCTTATGTTTGAACCATATCGACCGATTACTGACTGTATTTTTGAACTAAATTATCCAAACTTTTTAGGAACTGCAATCTGTAATGAGAGAACTCTGCATTTAATTTATGAGACACTTTTATTAGTTTTTACATTTATAAAATACATTGTTCTTACTTTTACGAAATGAAATTATATATTGTTTTAAAAGTACATAAAAAGTTTTTTGGAATTAATTGAACTGCCTGTAAAGGACGACGGTAGAATCCTTGTAAAACAGGTATGTGTAATTTAAGATTGTTATTCGTTGACGATGCAATGGTTTGATATTATTTCTCATCAAGTGGACTGCCACTTTTTCAGCTATTATTAATAGTACCTACGTCTGAATTAAATATATACAGGTTGACTTCTTTGTTTTTTGTATCAATATCACAAAATGTATCATGGACGCAGCCAACATATCTAACATTTAGTTCACGATCTAATTGTTCAACTTCAGTTGTCCTTTCTGAGGAATAGAACAAAGTTTCATTTTAAAGGAAGTCTTCTATTTTCTATAAACAATTTATCTTTTATGCGTTTGAATACAGTAGTTGCGATACGGAATTTAAATAAAAGAAAAGAGTGTTTACGTATTTTATTGTTGTCTGTATACTGACAATGACGCATTTCTGTGTGCAATTTTCTCAACAAACTGCCTGCGTTTTCCATTTAGATCGTTAAAAATATAAATGTATAAATATAATAAATTTGATATCGTAAATATTTTAGTGTAAATTACTAAATGGCAAAATAATGAATACAAAAATAGATTTATTCAGCGTCTTATTTTTATCATAGTAAAATTAACTCTCATTAACTGTAATGAAGTAATTCGTAAACGTATATATAGTAATAATCGTATACAATTTGTGAAGTTTTGCTCAATTTCACATTATAATGCTTAAATTATGTTATTCGTTCGGATATTTGATGGAAATTTCGTGCGACATGATGGATTGCTTCCGTTTGTTTCTGCCGATGTCAAATTGGATCTCTGGTAAGGCTACGCACCTAGCTACTCATCAAGGCTTTGGTTATGACCTTGTCATTCGCATGTTTTTTTTTATAAAGGTTGGAAGGCCTAACAAATTGACAGCCTACTCTAAACATAACAAAATATAATGTAATATACATATACTTTTTGAATCGTCATTGCTGTGGAGCAAAGATATTATGGCTCCATAATTTCAGTGCCATTCGAAATGGATAGATATAGGTACCTGACATGCATTACACAGATTGGTGGCAGAAACACGGCTGAAAGACTAAGGTATGATGATTAATTCATGATTTATGTTAAAAAATGAATTTCACAATTGAAAGAATTAATTTATTTCTTGGAGTAACAAATATTCATTATTAAGATTTAAAACTAAAAAAAGTTTTTAATTACGATCTGTCTGTTTAGAAATCATGCTGTTAGAATTTGAATACAATCCACGATCCAGGTTAATTTGTGTCATTTAATTCTAAACGGCATCCTATGCATTCGGCTTTAATTGTCCGGCCACATTGTAACTGGGATTGCTTCATCTACAATTGTAATCTATCTACAAGACAGACTACAAGATAAGACAATAGGCGGCAATTAAAGATAATAAGGTCTTAGTAGGGTTTTACTAAAAAAGTCGCTTAGTAATAATAATTGATTATTGCATGAGATTTTTATGGAAATTGAATTGACATTGTGTTTTTGGTGATATTAAGAGAACAGGTCTTTGTTAATTTTATTACTTTAATAATTTATTAGTACTTTTGTACATATACAAAATATTCTTTGGAAATGACCATTTACCAGAGGGAGACTTTGTACAAAAGTCGATTGCTTGGGTACCTCTGTCCCATTCGTGTTTTTACCGTGAAATAGTTGTGTTTGCATGGCTGTGTTTCGGTTTGAAGGATGGGATATGGCGTGAATTTACAGGGTACAGAGGAATAACATCTGAGTCCTCGGGAATGGCAACGCATAGGGGGTATCATGGGAGAAACAGTATACTCTGTTATGTACATAGTACTGCTCATGTCTATAGGCGACGGTTACCACTTTCCATCAGGTGGACCGTCAGCTTGTTTGCCATTCTAAGTTGTATAAGAAAAATGTATACATTTACTTATTTTGAATACATTTATTTACTTACTTTTAAGTCTTATTTTTGTCTTTTTATTTCTCTAGTCTCAGTACTTTCAGATTATTACAGTCAGTATCTAAAATATGTTTTTCTAAATTATTTATAGTTGGGGTTCGTCTGATGGGAAGCAATTAACTACACTAGATGCATTGCCGATACTAAATAAGCTTCTAAAATACCGTTTTTAACAAATTTTATACTGTGATTTTTTGGAAAAATATTGATTGAAAAACTTGGCTTGTTATCTCGAACGTTCTTTTTCTGAAACTGTCTAGTGTGTGACGATTTAAGGCACTGAAGTCAAGGAATAAATTTCTTATCGAAGAGATGAGATTTCTTAAATGATCATCTGAATTTATCAAAGAAATTAAAAAATACATTTGTAATTTTTGCAGCTCTTCTAATGTTTGAAGCTCCGTGTTTGTTATATCGATAACTTTATATTTATATATAAATATAATCATATCATAGCGTCATATCTTCTTTAGTTCCAAAATTTTGGTTCCAAATGATCAAAAAACAAAAAGTTAACAAATGAGTTGTAGCTGGACACCGAGTTTTTATAATTTCAGTAACCGCAAGTAGTTGTTGAGTAATAAATTGAACGTGCGATTGGTTTGCAATTGGTACGCGCATGTATACCAGTTGCGATGCTGGCAATAAAACGGCTATTTCACAGTTGAGCGGTCTCCAATAGGGTTGCCGACACATTGGTCGGAAAAGACTATATAATCGTAATTATATTTATTAGAAATTTGGTCTGAATAAAAAATTATAGGTCCTGAATCGTACGTCGCATCAAGTGCTGTTAACTATGCTCTTGAGGAGTATGCGAAAAAATAACAAAAGAATTGGAAGACATCGAAGAGTCTTAGACATTTTAAAAAGTTTTTAATCGACAAGCATGAGAATTGAGATAAACTCATGTACAGTGGTGGCAAATCACAGGCAAGACTCATAATAAGTGTCTTAACTGGACATATGCCACTAAAGCATATAGGTACTATACAAAATGGGTCTTTACTCGGACACACTGTGCAGATTTTTTTTTTGATGGGTGAAAATGGTATGGTAACCCCGCCTGCGCTAACGGGATACGCTGACGGAGCACCAGTGAAGGGTGATAGATGAGAATGAAAACAGGCCAGTTAGCCCATCATGATGAATTCATCAGGAATTAACCATGATAGTTTCCAGGGGGAACTGCGAGGAGGTCGACCTGGTACCCAACCAGGTATATTGCTAGCATTCAGTCTACATTACTAAAAATCCCTTTCCCCCTACACTGTGCAGATTCTGCAGTGAGAAATGGCAAGTAGGCGTATGAGTCTACTGAGAACGGCTTATCCAGAGTCAGGGACTATAGATATCTTATACCGTGGAATACCACAAAGGTAACATAGGATCTATAACATGATGCTGCATAATGCAAGGAGAAGTAAAAAACATGCCAATGTTAATTTATCGTGGTTAAAATCTCTGTAAACTAGAGTAAATCAACAGCGCAGGCTATTTGTTAGTAATCAGGACTACACTCTTCATTCTTAGTACTATATGTCAGGTCGACCTTGTGATGGTCCCCCCCTTTGCCTATGTGCACCCCTTATAATAACTACCCTCTTATACTAACCTACACGTGGAAAACCTACAAAGCCTAAGAAAAGCCTACGAAGGCTTTACCTAATGAAAACCCATGAAAATCTAGTGAAAACCTACCCTAAAGAATGGCCTAACACCCTCAATATAACCCCATACCTATATTGCCTTATACACCCCAAACATCCTATGAATCATATAAACCCTTACAATAAACACATAATATTGAACAGATCTTATAGTAGAACACTTGATCATTTGGCCAGATAAATAAATGTGTGATCGTCTAGTAATGTAGGACCCGTTGTGTGTGTAATAACCAAAAGGTTCTTTAATTGGTATATGATAGGAGTTAAATAATGAAGATGATTGATAAATATTTAAGGATTAAGAATAATTAATGAATTATACTCATAATTCATGTAACTAGGAAGTTAGAATATAATATATTAATTTAATAGTAAATTACAGAATAACTGTAATAATAAAAAAATGGGGAGCGGTCGGGCCCCTCACACGCCCGGACCAGTGGAAGACTTTCCAACTATCTATAACTCTTCCTCCTAAAAGGTAGGGAAGGGTATTACTATTTATTAATGCACTCTGATGGTAATAAGGGAATGAGTATTCTCAGTTCCAAACCAAACATAAGTACATTTACTTCAACATTACAGTGGCTCCACCAGCCCCACGATGCTTCCAGTATAAATTAGTGTTTGCCAGAGGCAAACGGATCGGAACTGAAATCCCAGGATCACTCCGACACGAGAGCTTACTCATGGGCGATGACCCTTTCAGTCCTATATGGCGACATAGAGATCACCCACTAACAGTACGAAACTGTTTCCCAGCGTCACCCTGTTACGAGCTTACTCAATGGGGGTTTCCCTTCGGCTCCACAAGAGATCAGACCAAGAAGCGAGATCACCCAGACACCAGAACTTACTTTGTTGGGACATAACCCTTCGGCCCTATAATGTGACATTAGAGATCACCTGTGAAGACAGTCCGATAGAGATGAAGATTTGTGTGATAGGGGATACCTTCCACACCCTGGAATTGGCCAAGCCATATAATGTTGATAATTGCTATATCATAACATAGCATTGTCAATTTAATATTATTTACTTAATACCAAGAATACTCAAGGTTCAAGTTAAGTCTGTTGATTAGGCCGGAGCCTAAGAACGAGTAGTCCAACCCATAGGTCGAGAGCTACTAAAAGTAATGAGTGCTATTGAATGAACTATAAGTCCAGTCAATTATATATAATATTATTGTTGATTAACCACATTGTGAATTAACCAATTATTTATAGAGAGAGATATATCTAAAGGAACTATAAGTCCTTTAAAAGACACTGATTAATCACAAGTTAACAACGTCTCGTGAAATAACCAGTTGGGTTTTCTATAAGTTTGAGGACACTAAGTCCAACAAGCTATTATTGTGTTGAGAGTAATAGAGATCTTTTGTAATATTTGTAGAGGTTTGATTAATCACATTGTGAAATAATCAGATTAAATAATTATGTAGCTTTATAGAGAGGACTATAAGTCCTAATTGGTTGTTGTCATAAGTACTGATAAATTACACATTAAAGTGCCAGGTCAATTATTATATATAGGTATATAGGAAGGACAATAAGTCCTATTTGTGTATGTTGTAGTAGTAGAGGCAATATATTGCATAATTATAATGTGAAAGATATAGATTAAATATATATTTGTATAGAAAGGACAGTAAGTCCCATACAATTATTGTAGCTGTACTATAGTTATACTATATCTACTTCCTTTTAGTGTCTTAGTAAACCTATTTACTAAGAGAATTTCTCAGATAAACAAGTGTTTTAGTGTTTAAATTATCATGATTAAATCCCTAAGAAATTAGGTCTTTAAATAATTATCATATCATTTAAGTGAAATTTCTCATATAAATAATTCCAATATTTCCCCTACAGTTATTATAAAATAACAGAAAATTATATAAATTTTCTATAGACTTAGATATAGAATCATAACGTGTATAATCTCCTTTTGTTTGACGTCTGTCACTTCAATGACGTATTGAATGACGTATTGATGTATCGAATTGAATTTTCATTATCTATCACATCTGTCAACGTAATAAATACTAGCAAGTTTGTTTATTTGTATTTGTTTAATATAATTAAATATAAAGTCATCATATCTCAACCCTAATATATAACTAAATTATCAGTGACATAAATAATCATGGTTTACACCAGAAATAATTAATAGTATCCAGTAATGCTGCAGTTTTATATTCTATCAGTAGCCAAGCTTACTTTCAAATTCAAGAATGAACAGAAGATTAGAAGTTTAACATTCTTATTGCAATTGTACTTGCAATAATATATACATACAGTACTAATTATCAAGAACATTCCTCAAATACATGTGTGGTGAAGATTTTCCCAATATGCTATCTATTTGATTCCTAACCTCTAATGTAAATTTATTAAAGAAGTGAATAATCAGTGTTAGTGTTTGCTTTATTAATATTTAAAGTAATTGTCCTAACTTGATATTAATAGGTTCATATCTCCTTGGATACAGCCCAACATATACAACTAACTCGATAATGAAATTTATAAAATACTAATATTATATTTTACTACTTGTATATCTCCATACTATTCCCATAAAATATTCAAAACATGTATATTAAATATAAATCCAGTAAATATTCACTAATATTAACCCTGTCTGAACTTGTCTAGTCAATATAACATGAACAAACAACACACATACAAACCTTATCGCCAGGACAACTTCCTTTCTAAATATGAGTAAAATACATAGCTTCACAAGTGTCATACAGTACCAATTTTATACTGAACCTCATACCTAGTTAAGAGTAACTATAGTCAGAGAATCTTTTAGTACTTTTATTACCATTAGGAAATAAATCCACACCTATAATATCAATATAATTAAATATTATTAAAAGCAGTAATATACAAAGAGTTGTTATTGTCAGCTTGCTCACTACAATAAAATCAATATTAAAGTTTATAATAAATCAAGACAAATTATCTATTTACACAATACAGGCTTGTTTACCATAAACACCCCACAGTCACATGAATTTATCTACTAACACAATAATGTATTAAAAGTATTACATCCACATAAAATCACTTACAACAGTTAAGCTGTCTCTTTGTACATCTGGTGTAAAACAAATCCCCACATGTAGTCATGGATAATCAAATATAGACTAAGAATCATTAGTCTGGTCGACCGAGTAATGGTATGAAAACACTTCACCATGAAGCGTTAAGTATGAATAGATATTCTAAACCAACACTGTAGTAGTGTAATAAATACAAATATTTCATCATCATCATCGTCTCAACCATCACCAACCCACGACTGAACACAGGCAATTTCTACCGACTGACACAAGGAACGGCCCCACAATACACATAAAACAGTCACTCCAAACAATGGAGGTAGCCCACACCGCACTTGCATTCACAGGGTCGCCACTCAATAACCCCTCTCTCTCATCAATGGCTGTTTCCCCAGCAATGAGACCAGACCATAGTCACTTTAGTCTATTATCCTCAATAAATAAATACTTTATAATAACTAGATATGAAACTAGTTAGTATTGTAATAGTTCAATAGTTGATTCAATAAGTATTTTCCAAAACTGGACAATTAGAACATTGAATCTAATTGATGAAGTTCTATCAAACGACCATATAATTGGATTTTGTATATGAGTAGAATAACGTAAGTACGTAAATTATATTGATGTAAACTTTGTTCAAATGTGATTGCATTTAACGATATACGCATTACCTAAAGGTATATGGACTCGACTAAATACGTATTTTAATAGTTGTTGGGAAAAATATTAAGTATAGACTTTGCCTGTGATCACAGTCAAAAATCTAACTACGTAGTAATAAATGGAACAAGCTCACCGGATTCTCCAGTCTTCTATTGATTAATTTCACACACTTAATCGATAGTGATACACTAAGATCTCAAACCCCTTCATCGATCCGGTCCCTCCTAGATCTATATCCCCATTATTTTTTTTATTTTATTGCGCAGTTCCTAAAACACGACTCCCGCGCCATCTTTTTTTTTCTTTTTTTCTTTTTTTTTCTGCGCAATTCCTAAAAACCGACTCCCGCGCGCCCGCCGATCTGCCGTCTCTCTTTTTTTTTTATTTCTTCCTATTCTTTCTCTAATAATGTCATAGATTATGTCACCGAAGGGTAGATATTTCAATAATCAGATTTAGCCTATTATTCGAACTGAACTTTTCTTCAAATTCAATTTAATTATATGTTAACGTATTTTGGTATTTTCTATTAATTTTATTATCGAATTTATAAAACTTTAAAGGCTCTCATAAACCTTATTAAACTGTGTTGTATGCATCCTTTTTACACCTGATGATAAAAGGTAAACTATAATTTGGTTATATATAAAATATAATATATTTTTGTTTAATTTATTTAATTTTCTTGTGACATCTACTACACTTTGGAAACACATCAAAGGAGTTTCCCTTCTGTGTCAGTATTTCATATATGGTAACGTCTTCTCTGTACGCTATTGTGAACCTTGACTTTAAAGTTTGTTTATATTAAATAGCTCAGCTTTCGCAGCGGTCACCCATAGGAACCCCTGTTTCTTTTCTATGTACTTATGGTATTAAACCTATTGTACTATAGGCGAACCGTCACAACCTCCACGAGGTATTGAAACTATCGTGGCAAAATGTTTAGTAGACTCGAGCTGGTACCAGCTTAAACCGCAGACGGGGTTACCATCTTTATTCATCAACTCTTTTTCTTCGTGTTGTTGGTCATGAGGTCACATGTTATTAGCCCATAATGTTGGCAGGCTAATATTTATTTCCATAATACTCAGAAAAGCAAATATGAATGAAACAGAGGTCACTCCTGCTTTGTATAAATTCTTCTTGTGGTAAACAGCGCTCACGTTTGCTTTAGAGAGATCCTTTACTTGTACTTTTAGGAATTAATGTACAGCCAAAAGATGAGGTATGTATTATAAAATCTAGTAGTAAAATATACCTGCTATAATATCAGCCAGTCCATTCCTTAACGAGTACTTGGGAAGCCACGAAAGGATAGGGACGCGTCGCAGCAACGTCTTGGTGGAGCAGCAGGCCCGAGCTCGTCTGAGAGCATCCCTTCGCCACCCACTGCCGCTACTGCTCTCGCTGTCCGGTTTCGAGGGGAATCCGCCTCCGAGGTAGGATCCATTTGTAGCTGCAGAAAAAAATTATCAGTTACAAATTTACGTCGTACATCCACAGATTTCTAGGTTAGGAGCTACCAATTACCAGCCTAAGTCTAAGCTTAGTATTCTTGTTAGTAATTTTAGTTATATTTATAATATTATTCATGTTTCGTCTTAGGCGCCACCTGGTGGTAGATTTTTCAATTTCCTAGTAAGAAATTTTATATAAAAGCCGTCTGCATCAATATATCTGCTGTAAGCAGCTGTAGTTGCAAGATTATTTTGGTTTGAAGAGTGATATATGATAGTGAAATTACAGAGTTAAATTTTATTTACTTTAATAGTTCTTAGGTATGGCAATTCATGACGAATTTACAACACCATGACCGTCACAGTGTATTCTGTGTTTATGTCTATAGGTGACGATCACCATTTTCCATAGGCCTAGCTTGTTCAGCTAAACAAAACCGTCAGTTGGGTCCCAAGCTTATTTTCCCCATTGTCATATAACAAGACAATGATTCCAAAAGACGTCATTACCACGTACGCGACTGGTGAAACCACGTCAACGGAGCATTCCGTTGTGTATCGCCTGTCACCTGTCAATATACAAAACAATGCGATCGACAGACGAGTGACACTATCGGGGCCTTATGTTGATATTTCAGTACACTTGTATATATACACTTTTAAATAACAAACCACTCAGTGCTGACACCGTTCGGTGACTGCGGAAGTAAGTCATGCGTGTAATTTTAATTTGTTGTACTTTATTGATGTCGTAAAAACAGTTGTTAAAGTATAAAATCCTTACTAATACTTACTTACGAGATCATCATCCTGGTTAGGGATCCATAGGTCGCTGGTTCATATCCGGCTCGAAGGACCACTTATTATGTTTGTAATATGTGCTGGTTCTTAGTATTTAATTATATTATTATTTATATTATATTATTTATTATATTATATTGTAAATAAAATCACCGTCTGTTAACTTGAAGTATATTATGTATTTTTTGTTCTATATCAATTGTTTTTTAAATATTCTTTTTTATAAAAAACCACAATTGTCAAAGTATATAAAAAGGTTAATTTTGAACATATTCCACCTAGGAAAAGGTGTAAGAGAATTTAACAAATTATAAAAATACTTAAAATAAATTATTATGTACTAGAAATAAAAGTTAACATTAATATTTATACATATAAAATTAATTATCATGTGATGTCAAGTAGATCAGCTTATTAATAGGTCTTAAAAAGGTACCTCTAATGGTTTTTATCAAGGCTGACCTTCGAGATCATCATCCTGGTTAGGGATCCATAGGTCGCTGGTTCATATCCGGCTCGAAGGACCACTTATTATGTTTGTAATATGTGCTGGTTCTTAGTATTTAATTATATTATTATTTATATTATATTATTTATTATATTATATTGTAAATAAAATCACCGTCTGTTGACTTGAAGTATATTATGTATTTTTTGTTCTATATCAATTGTTTTTTAAATATTCTTTTTTATAAAAAACCACAATTGTCAAAGTATATAAAAAGGTTAATTTTGAACAATAAACTAACAACTCCTTTTCCCCAAACGCTACGGGTTTTTTTTATAGGACGATAATGGAATGGTAACCTCTCCTGTGCTAACGGTAGACACTGACAAGGCACTAGTGGAGGATTGGTGAAAATGAAAAGGCAGGTCAGTTAGCCCATCGTGATAAATTCCACAAGAATTAACTACAATGGTTTCCAGAGGAAACCGGTTGGAAGTCCATCTGATAGGGTATACAGGTATTGCTAGCAATTTAGCTGCTAGACCCCAACACTAACAATATTCCCCCCCCCCCCCCCAAATACTACCAATAAACCATCGATTTGAAGAGTTTCAGTTCCAGAAAACTGGAGGAGGCAGATTGGCAATGGAGTTCTACTGGCCCATCGTGAAAATGTTGGGCCAACTGACCTATATGCATCTTTATTAACAATCACCAGTACTCCTTTAGCGTATACCGATAGTGCAGCCAATTTCATCCATTGAAAAGAAGTCCTAGAAAATTACTTCTTTTGCAAGTTGTTTAAAAGTAATAACAGTGTCAGGTCTCAGGTATAGGTATTTCTATTATTATTCAAACACTAGAGAGCTAAACGCTGTGTTTCAGTCACGATTACAAGCCAGGTCAGGTCGGCGCGGTGGCGGTTGTCGACCACCCTTGACCGCGTTGGTTCACCGCGCCCGCTCGTGACCACCACATCACGCCGCGACCACTCCGAGCGAGCAGGTGTAGACGCCCGATGCGGTCTTTGCCACCATTCACTTTATTCTTGTCACTTGATTTAGAAAAAGGAAGAATTTTTTTAGATACCTTTGTACAAAGTTCCCTTCCTCTCTGTATACAGTTGTGGTCAAAAATATAGAGGTTTTATACTGTTTCTCATTGCCTATACAGCAAAGGCCTTGCGTGATGATAAATAGACAGATGCATCTGGTGATTAGCGTATTATATTGTATTATATTATAGTATATACGCCACACTTAGTAATTTTAATAAAATGACTATTAGCGTACTTCGAGATGTTTCAGACAATTGCGTTTTCTATCTAGTATTATTCAGAGGTGGAATTTCCAAAGAATTTCGAAATTTGCACAAGTGTTTGCTAACTGTAGTCCACTCTCTATGCTCAAACAATGAAATGAAATAGAAGCTATTATGTATTTCAACAAAGCTATCTATCAACTACCTGAATAACAATAGGATATTCCTGTAACAATATTATAATGAGCCGCGAATTTTTTAAAGAGTTAAAATATTTGTGGTACGAGGTATAAGCGATTTTGTTTTAATTTTTTTTTTATTGGCTTTACTAACCTATACAATTGGGGTAACTAGATATCCCGTTAGCGGGGAAAAAAACGGAATACGCTGGCGGAGCACCAGTGAAGGGTGATAGATGAGAATGAAAACAGGCCAGTTAGCCCATCATGATGAATTCATCAGGAATTAACCATGATAGTTTCCAGAGGGAACCGCGAGGAGGTCGACCTGGTTGGGTATATTGTTAGCAATGGGATTCTCAGTCTCCATTACTAACAATCCCTTCCCCCCAATTGGAAGGTTTTGCCAGGGCCACCGCAGTCAAGGCTTTAGAGATGTTTTAAGAGAAACGCTGCTGCCTATTTGTCGGCCTCCCTTAGTCGGCTCTTACGACATCCACTGGAGAGGAAAGGGTGGCCTATTCTATGCCGGGACCACACGGCCAATAAAATCTGACCAGTAATCACTATTAGGCCAAATTTAATATCATAGCAACTATAAAGTAGCTAATCGCTTGTCACTTAAACACGTTCTTAATAAAGACAACGGGATATATAACACTTTGTGTTCGCCGATGGTTTTCTTGTAACTACATCCACCACACCGAACCGGTTCGTTCCGAAACTGGACTATTAGAACGAAAACAAACAACTTTTCTATCTGTGACGTTATTGATTCAATGACATATCATTTTTAGGGTTTCGTACGTTAAGATTACGTTTACAATCGTTGGCATTCTTTTAAAGGAGCGTTCTTTAGCTAGTTTTTTTTTGATAGGTGAGAATGGTATGGTAACCCCGCCTGCGCTAACGGGATACGCTGGCGGAGCACCAGTGAAGGGTGATAGATGAGAATGAAAACAGGCCAGTTAGCCCGTCATGATGAATTCATCAGGAATTAACTATGATAGTTCCCAGGGGGTACCGCGAGGAGGTCGACCTGGTTGGGTATATTGCTAGCAATGGGATTCTTAGTCTCCATTACTAACAATCCCTTTTTCCCCCTCTTTAGCCAGTTTATTTGTTTTGTTTCTTTTGTAGTGAACACATTCATTAAAGAAATATAAGGCGAATAATGTCAATTTTTGAACTCCAACCTAACTTATGTAAGGGAAAATTGCTAGCAATATGCCTTATCAGGTCGACCTCCACGTGGTTCCCCCTGGAAACCATCGTGAACAATTCTTGTATCATGGGCGAAACAATATACTCTGTTATGTCCATGGTACTGCTCATGTCTATAGGCGACGGTTACCACTTTCCATCAGGTGGGCCGTCTGCTTGTTTGCCATTCTAAGTCGTATAAAAAACAGATCGGTCCCATAGAAGCTTTATCAGAATCGGTTCAGTAATTTAATTTTTAGAGCAGAATGACTAGTTTTGTCACAATTAAAGTCGTTATTTTTGTGGGATGTGAACAATCTATATATTTTTCTTCTAAGTTTTATATAAGTTAATTAATTAATTAATTCGAGTCACATATAAAAGTAGACTTGCAGAGAATTAACAAGGCTTTCGTTAAAATCAGCAATTCAGTCGGCGGCTAATCATTGCACTGATTTGCAAGTGCAAGTGTAGAAAGGCTGCCTTCTTTAATGGTGTGATAAACGGACAGATGTCGCCGCCTGCGCTGCATGCGCAGTGCCACAGATAATATGATACTATGCAGTGCTTACCGAGCGACTGAATATGTATGACTTTGTATGTTGACGTGTATAAAGTTTTCTGTATTAGTGGCGCTGGAATGGATTGTTACATTGAAGACTTCCGTTTCCTGATTAACGTTTTTTTTAATGGGTGAAAATGGAATGGTAACCCCGCCCGCGCTATCGGTATACACCAACGGGGCACCAGTGGAAGATGATAGGTGAGAATGAATGCAGGTCAGTTGGCCCACCATGTTGAATTCGTCAAGAATTAATCATGATGATTTCCAGGGGGAAAAGTATATATAGGGTATATTTCTAGCAATGGGGCTATTAGACCTCATTGGTAAGAATCCCTTTGCCCCCGTGATGTTTTTTTGTTTTTTTTTTTTTATACAACTTAGAATGGCAAACAAGCTGACGGCCCACCTGATGGAAAGTGGTAGCCGTCGCCTATAGACATGAGCAGTACCATGGACATAACAGAGTATACTGTTATGGGACAGAGGTACCCAAGCAATCGACTTTTGTACAAAGTTTCCCTCTGGAAAAGATGTATGGTTTAA